GGTTACATTCTACAAGATATTTAAATTAAAAGTTGCAATTCATGAATCTTCATTTGATATTTAATTAATATTAATTGTAACGTAGTTACAATATTCAGTCTTCGACTACAATTTGGGCAATAAACATCTCATTTTATCGAGAAACATTAACTGATTATGTTATCCATCCGTAAGAAACTCAATAACTTCCAAAAATTAGTGGATTATCATCCATTTCAGCTTAGAATCTTTAAAAAAACATCCAAAGTGTACATCCATAAACTCAATTCCTTTTAAATCATGCTAAATAAGGATCAGAAATTAAATTTTGTTGTTTTTTAAAATAACCTTAAGCAATTAATCTCATAGAACCCACAAATTGTTTTGTATCTCATCCTAGAGTGGATTATCCTCAATTTACAGTTTAGTAAATAAAAATAAAGTTTTATTGAAAGGGGAAAAGTTTAAGATCGTAAATCAGAAGCTGAATGTGTGGCATTTGCTATCTGCGACTGAATATTTTCATGACAATATGCAGCACTGTGTATTAAAACTTATATTGCTGTGGATGATCAAATAAGAAGCGAAAATGTTGCAAACTTCATGGAAACATTAACGTTAATGTTTCAACCTCAAAACTCCGCCCTCTTGTTCAATGTTGCAATTTTCGATTGGTTCATTCAATTCTCATTTTTACTGTTTCAATCCTTTTCCTTACGTCCTTTCATTTTCACTCCCTGAATATGCTGTATAGAATAAATTATGAATTATACTAATTAAAATTCAATTAAGGATGTATTTATTCCATTCCCATACCCATCAAGTTTCATTTCATCCCCAATGATAATTTTGACACTCACTTATCGACTCGTCATCCTGCTGAATAAAAAAGTAATTTTTGATGGAGTGGGAAATGGAAGAAAAATTCTCTCCTCGATGATACAAAATTCAATTTTCATTGTATACTGGATGTCTTCTTATTGATCTGTGACGGAGAGAAGAAAAAAAGTAAGTAAATGCTAAGAAGAAGGCAAGAAATGAGAATAAAGAAAAATTCTTTTGCACATTGTAATGATTGTACTTTTTTTACATTCAATATCGCGTCTCTTTGGAATGTCATTATTTGAGCATAAATAAAAATAAAATGAAAAAATGGATAGACAAGTTTAATGTTGTTTTTGTGGTGGAAGTTTTAAGCGCTGGCATGAAATAGTGTTGGATATAGTTTCAGAAGGTTTTGGTGATGGTTTGTATCATCCTTTTTCTATGTTCAAATTAGGTCACAAGATTTATCTCAATCCATTTAGGTTTAATTTAAAAACCTTGAAATATTGAAAATTCATGAAAAATTTCAAAAGAATTGTAAATTGACGCATCTTTCCTTCATGTATGATCGCTTCATCCATAGATGTTGCTAAAATGGCTAACAAACTGTTTCAACTTCTGAAACTCTTAAAATTTGATTTACTGAATGTTTGTTTACAAACTTTAAAACTCAATCTGATCAAGATTAGATTAATAGATTCCAAACTCTTTAAATTCATTAACCATGTTCATTTAGTCAGAATATTCTAGAAATAAACAACTTTTAGCCCCAAAAAGCCAACCAATTCAGCTCAATTCACAAAAATAATTTGCATAAGAAAATATGAAGACACTTTTTTTTCACCTCCGATTTTCAATTCCATTGTTGTTCAATACATGCGGTGAAGTCGCAAAGCGTGAATAAGAAATGTAAATAAGTGATAGAGCATAGAAGAGAGAAAGAAAATGAAAAGAAATCCAAGCTGAATCTTTTGCGAAAAGAAGATTTTATTTTGGAACGAATTGCTTACTTTCAATGGCTTGTTTTCGCTCCTCAGGCATTGATCCATTAAATTGTTAACAACATTATTATTACTATTATATGATAGTTCTCATTCTTTATTATTTTGCCTGATCCAATTGAAAAAAAGGAGATTGTGTTTAAAAAAATGTTCCACAAAAGATTCACTCAAGGATGAAAACGTCTTTAAGCATCAGCCACAAAAATTTAAACATTTCAATTGAAATAAAAATGAATTCACAAAAGAAATGAATTAAAAAACTGAGAATCTTGAATTGTTGTTGGATATAGAAATTGGATATGTTTATGCAATTGTGTGTTTTATGATTGCATTGTTGAAACTGATAACTATAATAAAGCCATTGATTATGAAATCATTTAACCGAAAGATATTGAATTTCCTCTATCTACTTCTATCATTCATGTGTCACATTCTCGTGCATCATCTGCTGAATGTAAAGGATTCTTTTTTTTGCCATAATGTCCTCATAATTTTTGTCCTTTTGTGTACTTAATGATGGTAACATTATCTATTGTCAGGGTCATCATAGGGTACATTATTCAGTGACATCGACTATATAATGGATATCCTTAATGGAATGTTCCTCAGCACTTGACTTCATTTGATGCTGGATCCGATTAAAAGATTCAACTAGGATCATATTATGATGTATGATTATGATTATGTCCAGAGTATATCCAAGAAACCGACTCCTAGAGTATCAAACCATGTTAAGGTGCATCAGCCCGAGCCAAAATTAAAGATCTGTGGCTGACTAGTTAGGCTTTATATCAGAAAACTGCAAATTTCTCTTTAAAAAGACTTGAGTTCGATTCCCGAAAGTATTGAAACTCCTAATCATTACCACGAATGACGTCGATAATACCTACTCGATATGGCAATGTTCCAAAAATGCTTCAAAGTATGACTCACACTCCTTAAATCCTTACCATCAATTACAAACGACCCCCAAACAATTGCTGACATCTCATGACCACAAAGAATGACAATAAAAAGTCTCAATTTACAGATTATTTCCAAATTAAATCTCAATCCAATAACTCCGTTGACCATTCATAGACCTCATTCCAAAATAATATTAATTCCACGAAGTAAGCATTCATGCTGTACATAAAATACACTTCCGTCTTTTGTGAATTTTGCAACCATGTGTAATTTAATTGACTTCCCTTTTTCTCTCTCGGATCGTATATCGGTTGTTTTACTCAATGCATTGTTGCATGCGAGACCTTTTCAATAGCGACTTGAGACATATAATTTACTTTTCTAGCGAATTGTACAAGAACTTTATTTATCGATTTTTGTTGAATGGTTAGATGTATTTGATTCAGGAAGTATAGAGTTGATGGATTTGGAAATTAATTGTTGGAACAAAGGAGGTTGTTTTATTTTAAGCATGTGAATTTGGATGAATGGAATGTATATTTGCGCTTTATTTATAGTTACTGTTGGAGTTCTTCATCAATAATGATTGCAAAGGTTAACTTGCCATTCTGTCAAGATTCCAGAGTTCCCCTCAGTAGCTTAGTGTTAAGAGCATGTAGGAGCTTGGGTTCGATTCCTAAACATGAGATCCACTAATATCGTAAGAACAACAAGCTTGCATATGAGAGCATTATTGACTCAGTTGCCTCAAATAATTTACGTAATAAGAATAATTATCCATTCATTGCCTCAGGACCCTCAAATGCTAGATTTAAAAAAACCCAGATCAGTGATTCATAATCAATTGCTTCAATTCTTTATTCATTGAACAAATAAAATATGTTGGAAAAATCCAGGTGTCATACCCAGTCATTCAATAATTCAAATTCAACTTTTTAGAAAACTTTAAAAGCTTTCAATGAGCTTTTATCAAAGCTTTCATTCAAAAATAAAAATTCCGTTACATCATCAATCAAATCCAAACTCTAGTCATAATATGACAAAAAATATGAAATATGAAAAAATTTCTTAAGAAGATAAGCACGTGTTGTGAATATATGAATGTGTAAAAATGAAATATAAGCAGACTATTCGGCAACATTTGAAGCTTGAGAGAAGAAGAAGAAAAAAAATCACTTTTACAACCGAGAAGAATTTTGATTCTTCTTATTTTTGGCGAGCGAAAAAAAAATGAGGCATGTAAGATATTAAGCAATGCAAATTGGAGTGCATTGAATGAAAACCGCTACACGAAAAAAATATATAAATCATACTTTTATAAATTAAACCACATAAAAATATAAATTACGACTTATGTTAAGGACAAAAGAAGTATAAGAAAGGTGAAGAGAAAGAAAGAAGGCAGAGACATATCACGACGATAAATTTCTTTGAGTACTCATAATAATTTGGAGAAAGTGTAATTCTATTGTGTATTTTACTAGCATTTGAAAGTGAAATTTTAATTTAAGAATCTCGATTCGATTTATATGAATGACTTTTAATGAAAATATATAAACTTACTTACTTACCTTCTTTTTTTTCTATTCCCTCAAGACTGTCTAAAACTATTGTAGGAGTCTAATGAACTTTCGTGCTCAGCATGAGAGATGAAATGTTATTTTTGTGAGCGATTGAATGTGAGCATTGTTAATGCTTTGCGTTGACATTCTTTGACAATTTTCTCGATTTAAGATGGATTTGAGTTATGAAATTGTTCAGTAAAAAATAAGATTCCAACGATTTTTTCAAATTTGAATTATAACGAATTTCTTAAGTTCAAAATTTCGCATCATTTTTTATCTGATCATTTTGTGAGTGCGGCTGAACTCAAAATTGATTCCTTTATAATAGTGTCATTTCGTAGACATCAAGCTTGAAAATAACATCCTCTAAACATTTCTCACCATTCGTTTCTATGCTTCTCATATAAAAACCTTCAAATTCTAGAGAAATAACCCACGAATTCTCATCAACTTGATCTTCTCTCAAACATCCAGTAATCATTAGAATCAACATATCTTCATCTCATCATAACAAGCAACATGACTCGATGATTTAATTCCGATCTCATCAGAAAGAGAGGAAAAAAAAAGATATTTTATAATATGTACATTAAATAATGTTAACGTGCCTCGTATAAGGTCATATTAATAAGCGCCATAATTCTAATAATTATTACTTCTGCCAAATGGTTAGTTGCTGTTACAAAGAGGCACTATATTTGCATACATATCAGATGCTTTATTACTGAAAAGCAGCAGCAGCAGCAAAAAAAATTGTTTACTGCCAACTCCACTCTCTCTCATGCTCAAATGCTCATAAATCGCACTTACTTAGTCTTGTTTTTCAGTTTGTCTGGTGCACATTTATTCATTTGCTATTGCCCCGTCTCTATTTTACCTGTGTGTGCGGAGCGCTATATAAGTTAAGCAAATTTTATTCCGCGTTTGTTTGATTTTGATTGTTCAAGTGAAAACATTGAGTGAGAGAGGAAAAATATTTCTTAAGGCACGATCAAGCAGCAGTCAGAATTTCCTTATAATCCAAAAAAAAGAGTCACTTGATTTGGAGTTAATCAAACTGAAGTGATAATTACTCCACCAAAAAGAAATAAGAAGTTTTGTGTGTGAAATAGCAAAAAAAAAAATCAAATATTAAATAATAATGTTAATTAAAGTGAGTATCTGAAAATAAGAAGGCAGCAGCACACAACTTTTTTTTTTGAAGATATCGAAACGTTAACTTGGATCTTGATGAATTTTGAAGGGCATTTTGAAAATCGATTGTTTAGCATGTACTTTTCATGTATTACAAGCTGTTTGTGTTGCTTATTTTTGGTGGAATTGGAGATAAATGCTTCATCAATCAGCTTCGATTTTCGCACATAAATTTTGCTCATCTTAATAGAAATTGAATAGAAAATGCAAGTTGAGATGAGAAATTTAAGATTAGCACATTTTTCAATGGAATTGATGACTGTGAATGTTGATGGATTGTGAAATTCAGCTATGATGAAGATTCTTTGTCTGGAAGTTTAATTCTTTAAAAGTTTGAATTAAAAAAAGGCTAGCTCTAGCTAAGGAAATGAATTGCAAGTTCTCTAAAGTCTCAAGCAGTAATATGAAAACGAAATTTTGATAGAGAACTGCTTCATTTTAAAAGTGCGAGATTTGAGGGAACTTTTGATCATTTTATTGGCAGCAATTCGATGAAAGAAATTCAAATGAACTTCAAAAATTAGCTAATAAGTTAATGCCAACCTTTAGATTCAATTCTATTGGATTTCTTTAATTTAGACTTTAAAGTAAAGATGGAATTGAACATGAACTTTAAAAACTGAAAGATCACAAAACTGCCGGTCTGTTGTTTTTATTCCTCACTATAGGCTTTTGCCTAGGAACTACAGAATCATGGCTTTTAAACTATATGACTCACTCACTATACTCGTGATCTTTCAGCTCAATAAATTTCAATATTTGATTTCTGCAGATTCATGACCAAATTGCAATAAAATCTTTTTTTTTTAACATTTTTTCCAAATATTTCAACCTTTACAAGTTCTCAAGATAGAGACTTAACCCAAATCAAGATTGAAATGGCATTCAAATCAAGACATTTCAGTCTGTAAACTAATATCCTCAAACCTTCTAAACATCTTCATCCTAGACCTATAAAAAATATTCTACCTCACTTCTATCTACTCTTCCTTTCACTATTGCCATAACATTTACCTTAATAGAATCAACAAGCATTAAGAAGCCTAAGGCAGCATAATGTCTGATGTAATAGTTGGCATTTCCTATTGGAATAACTTAAGAGATATTGAAAATTTATTGCATAAAATATTAGCAACTGCATATTGGAACTGGTTTCTTGTAAAAGGATGTACGGCGTTTTCTCCATGATCAATGCTTAACATGACATCAGATGCATCATACAGCGATAAAGCAAGTTTTTTTATGCAAAACATTGATAAGAGAGCTTGAATTATTGCCGGATATAAAGTCAACTGTTTAACATATGTAAGGTGTCAAGCATATGTTGCTTATGAAATGTGAACGTGATCAGTGAACTTATTGATTTATGATTGTTTCTGGTCTGCATGGCAGCTTTAAAATTACTGAATTGGTTCCAAAACAAAAGAAACTGAGCAATAATGGCAATAGGATGTTCTATAGACTCGTTGACTGTTGCTAGAACTCAGAATGAGTCAGAATATAGGAACACGTGCTGTTATATATTCTAGACAGAATAGAATTTGAATGGTTTGTGTCGAAAGTTTTAGACTAGATTTAATTGATCGAGATAATTGAAATTGAGTGCTTAATAATTTGGTTTTAGTTCCTTGAACTTGAATCGAATGATTTTGAATATTATCTTAATGAGTCTTAATATGGTCCAGCTAGAGTTGATTATTCTTTTCTTAAGAAGAAGGATCTCTGATTCAATAGTTAAACATGACTCCTTCTGTTCATTAAGGTTTGATTCCAGTGTTGCATTCTGGCTATTTGTCTGGATCAGATAAATTCTGAGACAGAAATTTCTTCATAAAATCGATTCTACATGTAGAAAGAAATAAACCATCTACATGTAGATTGTGTCTACATGTAGAATCTGTCTACATGTAGATTTAATGTAGATGTCTACGATTCTACATTCTTCTCTGATGTAGACCTGGAAAAAATGTAGAATTATAGACATCTACATCGAATCTACATGTAGACAGATTCTACATGTAGACACAATCTACATGTAGATGGTTTTTTTCTTTCTACATGTAGAATCGATCTTTATGAAGAAAGTTTCTTAGCTAGACAAAAACTATTGAAGAATCTACAATCTTCATCTAGTGTAGACATCTACATTTGCAACACTGTTTGATTCTCATTACACTTAGTTTTGAATTTGAATTTGAATAAAGAACGATAAACATCCATTGAACAACGAAATCAAAACTCAGTTTATTCTATCAAGCTTCAAATCAACTCCTTCATTCAAACTCAGTCACAGTTCACGAAAAATGCGTTAAATTAAATGTTTTTTTATTCATTATTGACTCATTGTACAATGAGAAGGTGTAATTGCATTCCATTTGAGATGATGTTAGATGAAATAAAAACTACGAAAACTAAACACACATTTTGATGCATGTTTTGAATGTTGATTTGTACTTATTTAATTATTTTACGAACTCAATGTTATGCCTACATTAAGTCTGCCTACCTAAATCTTACGATTTTTTTTAATTTTATTATTAAAAAGTTCTTTAATATTCATATCGAGATTGTGAATCATGCAGGAATTAAATGGTTTTGCCATGTTGTTGAAATGATGGGGGGGGGGGGGGGGTTGAAATGAGGGACATTCTTAAATTATGTCTGATATTTTCGAAGGAGACCTCAAACCTCTTTTGATAAACATCATTTATGAATAACTCCCAAAATCAGAAACGCCAATGAATCTTTTGACCCGCAATCAATATGATTCAGGAAGTTCAAAAAGAATTGCTCATTTTATGACGAAGATGAGGCATTCAAGAATTTGGAAAGTTTAAGTGCATTTAAGCATAAGACATCGAACGAAATGTTCAATTGTTATGATCACGACTCGACAGACCTCACCCACAAACTGTTTGAACACTCATAGAAAAAAAGTAACAAAATGTTTGTAACTTGTATGGAAAATGTTAACAAACAATTCGTTAAAATAGTGTTTACGAACTTATTTGTTAAATTTAACCAAATTATTTGTAAGGTTGAATTGTTAACTATAAAAATTGTTAATTTAACAAACTTTTTGTTAAAATTTTTTTTTACAGAAAAAAATAACAAATTTTCGGTTAATATTAACCAGAAAATTGTTAATTTGGTCACCCATCTTATTTTAAAATGTTTCCGTGGTTGCTTAACTTCTGAATTCCTGTTGATGATCCGCTAGTCCGCTGCTTGTAAACTTTTACTTATAAAATTTGATTCAGAACCAATATAAATAATTCTTTAAAAAATATATCCAAATTTTAAAATTAATTTATGAATAATAAAATAGAAATGTAGGACTTAAAAAAATGAACAAATTTAATTTTTAAATTACGATTTGGTTTGTAAATCATTATTTTCCAAAACAAATTACAAATAAAAACATTGTAACAAATGTTTTGTTAAAATTAACAAATTAATTTGTTAAACAAAATCAACAAAATTCAATTTAAAGCAGTTTTCTCATTAAAAATAACGCAATAAATTAATGGGAATCGTTTGAAATTAATCAAACAAGAGTTTTGAATACAAAAATTAAAATTTAATTAAAGCAATTATTAACAAATAAATTTGTTGATTTAACAAACTCAATTGTAAAATTTTTAACAAATAGTTTGGTTGAAATTTTTTTTACCCATGTAAACTTAACCAATAATTTGTTAAACTAGTTTAACAAACATATAACAAATATTATGGTTACTTTTTTTCTATGAGTGAAGTTCAATAAAATGTAATTATCGAGATGAAAAGCGAAAGGAAAAATTCAATTGAAAAGTGAAATTTTTAGTATCAATTTTGGTTCTGCTTTCGAATCTAAACGAGCTGAGAGGCTGATTTACGAATTTATAAATTTATGTGGCTTGTTAATCTTGCTAGCATTGCTGTACGTTGCTGCCTTTTTCACACCACATTCACTTTCAGTTTCTTTTGATCTTTTTTTATTTTATTTCTTCTCTTACATATTCAATTATAAAGTTAGTTTTTTTTTCATAATCTCTCGAGAATGAGCCCACGTCGAGTTTTTTATTTATTTACTTCTGCATGTATTAATTTTAAGTACACATGGCATTTGTGCAATTGCTTCCGATTTAAATTGTTTCAACTGGTTTTAATAGTATTTTGTGCTAAGCATATGATTTAAAAGAAATATTTATTGATTTTCATTGAAACGTGATGAAAAGATAATAGGATTATTGTTAATTGATTTACAGATCATTAATTTGTTGAATTTAATTTTTAACGAACATTTTAAATTTGAATTTTTTTGCTTCAAAACCATACAACAGTAATTAATTCAAATTTCAAAAAACCGTTAAAAATTTTAAATTCCGAAATTCGTTTCGATATTACACAAAGTAATAAGATCACATGATTAACCAACATCATCTCCCCACAGCTGTTACCTGTTTTTCTTCTTACACTGGCCTTGACAGAATGTGCGAAGCTAAGAAAGACACCAAAAGTTTATAATGCTTTAATTACAACTGATGAGAATTTACAGCCATCGAAAGCTTATCCAATTATTCAGCCTGTTATTCAACCAGCCATTCCTGTACTAAGTCCTATATATCCTGTTTATAGTCAATATTTAACGAATGATCATAAGGTATGCTACATGCTGTTACCAATTGACTTAATTATTAAAGAATTTTTTTCGTAGAATGAAAACCAGCAAGCTGATCGTAAGCTAGACGATGTAGAAGTGACGAATAATGGAAACTCAGAGAACAATGAAAATCATCAACCAGGAACAGAAAAGCCAAATTCTGAAGCACTGCCACTCAATGAATTTGGACTTCCACCATCCTTAATTCCACTCCAAAAGTTCTCATCATATCCATACAACTTACCTTTCTATGTCGATTCCTATGGAAATTACCAAACCCTTCAATATCCCGTCCTTCCACCAATTAACTTCTACAATCAAGATCAGGAACATGAACATCAATTGCCACCAATTGAGGATGCAATGTTTGAAGTTCGTCCAGACAACAGCCGTAGTGTAAAGTCACCAAAAGAGGAAAGAACAACAACACAACCAAATGAACAGCCATCAAATGATTCCTTTAAGAATAATGCAAATAAGAACTCAGAAATACCTGATATCATCCCAGACCTTCCTTACCATATTAAAAAGAATTAAGTAATTATTTATGAATTGTAAAGTTATGATCATCATCGTCGACTTATTTATTTTTTTTACCGTTAATTGATCTTTTTTTTACTTAATAAATTTGAATTTTATGACGACATTAAAAGTCCTTGCATTTTTTATGGGGTCTGATCGGAAGTGACGGGAACAATTAAATTGACTATTCTTAATGATTTACGGATCAGGGAGGGGCTTGAGGGTTCCTTAAAAAATCGCAATCATTGTCAGACATCATTAATGGATTCTCCCAATTGCATAAACACGATGAGACATGCACAACTGTCTAAATTAATAATTTATGAGCCTGAGAATTATTTAAACGATGTCATCCATGCTAATTATTGCTTATGGCAGTAATGAATATTTTATTAAATTCACTTGAATTGATTAAACTAATTCCTTTCCATTTAAGGCCTTTTATTCAGTAAACAGGTAGAAAAATAATCCATAAAACAAAATAAGTCAGATTGAGTCATGATGAAATTTTTTTGAGAAGAGTCCAAAATTGTTTTTGGTCCAAACTTTCAATTTTTAAGGTCAGAGTTTAGCGGTTGGTTGGATTTTTTGCTGACTTTTTCAGCCTGGTTCAATCAACAGCCAACACTGACTCATTCAAAGAACTAGAACTTTTTATGCTGAATTAATCTCAACTGTATCGTCGTCATCGACATTATCGTTATTTGGGTCTTCCTTTAAGTCATTTGTGGCATTGTCTGCTGGATCTTCAACTTCAATTGGTGGCTGTCCTGGTTGAGGAAGAGTTGGAGTAGCTGGATTGTATTGAGGAACGTAGTTATAGATTGGATACACGGATTGTGTTGGATATACTGATTGTGTTGGGTAGTGTGAGTAGACGACTGGATATTGAGGAACTACATTCCATTGTGGAACCTAAATTTGATGGGGAAAAATAAATTTTGTTTTAACAGCTATCCTGGATTTGAGTGTTTAAAACCATACAACAGTTTTTCATGAAAATTGTTTGGCTCTCAGTTTAAGTATTTTAACGGGTGATTTGAATTTAAATGTAATCAATTTAACAATTTTGAAAGCACTTCAACAGCACTTTTTTAAAATAATTTGTAAGGCTCTCAAACATTTTGAACAAAGATGAACAACTTACACTTTGGTAGACAACAGGAGTATTGATATAAGGTGTGTATGCATGATTTTCGACAGTGTTGTAGCTGAATGATGAGTCAAGACGTTCGCTATTAATAACAGCTGAATCGAGTGATGGATTTCTTATTAATGTTGTGGATGAGATTGGAACGACAGTTCTATATAATGGAACAACTGAGGATTGAGCGATTGTGGCAAAAGCCAATAATCCAAAAGCGATAACTTTCATCTGGAAATATAAAGATAATCTTTTAGGAACTCAGATTTAGTCACTATAATTGATTGTAATCACCTTTATAATTTTTTAAGGAACAAATAATATTCACTGAATAATTCAAGAAGAGTTCTCGACACTTCAACGTTAAAAATAAGAATAATATTGCATTAGGAATAGACATTAGCTATTTATATATCTATAAAGTGTGTATGTATCACTTAAATTATTATTAATTAATGAAAATCGAAACAAGATCTGTGAGACACACAAGCAGCAACTTAACAAGGTAGAACAGCTTACAATGTGCGACCAGACAGGGTATTATAGAATCGAGTCTAAGGTAAGTTAAGTAATTGGAATCTTCTTATTGTCATTTAGTTACACTTTTTTAAGGCTGGCGTCTGTTAGATATTAAGAGTGCTATGCTACTTAAGATACAGTAGCGGCCAAAAGTATCCGGACAAACACAAAAATGTCTATAACTTTTGACTGGATGGTCCAATTTAATTCAAATTTTCACTGGAATACGTAAAATCGAATGACAATTAATAAAAATATTACTTTAATAACAAATCTTTAAAGTCAAAAAATTTATTTTAAAAAAACTAAAAATTGAATGGACAAAAGTATCCGGACAAAATTAAAAGTTTAACGGAAATTTGTTAAAAAAGCTTTTCTCCCACTGAACGAATGCTTTTTTGTTAAGTATTTTGTGCTTTTTGTTTACATTCATCATGTCAACTCAAAAATATTTAAGTTCACCAGTTAAAAAAGCAATTATTAGTGCTGTAGACCAAGAACGAAATTACAGAGAAATTGCACGTCAATTTAGCACTGGAAAGTCCACAGTAGCTGATGTTGTTCGACGATTTAGAGAAAGAAATAATCATAACGTGTTACCGAAATCAGGAAGACCCAGAAAGGCAACTGCAAGACAAGATAAGGCTTTAATTAATGCATCGAAAGCTGATCCGCGTAAGAGTGCTGTAACATTGAATGCAGAAATGAAGGAATATTACAATGTTCAAATGAGTACAAGAACAACTAAACGTCGATTGAATGATGCAGAATTGTTTGGACGACGTTTCGTCAAAAAGCCGTTTGTTTCTGTAAAGAATCGAAATGCCCGAATAAAATTTGCCAAGGAACATCTTAATTGGACTCGCGAGCAATGGTCAAAAGTTCTTTGGAGTGATGAATCAAAGTTTATGTTGTTTGGATCTGATGGAATCAAGTTTGTGAGACGGCCAAAAGGTCATAGAAACGATCCTAAGTATCAGTTACCGACAGTTAAGCATGGTGGAGGTAACGTTATGGTGTGGGGATGCTTTAGTCGTGATGGAGTTGGTCCGATTCATCGAGTTACTGGTATTATGGACAAGGAAATGTATAAAGATATCATCAACAGAGTAATGCTTCCCCATGCCAAACGTGTTATGCCTCGAGGTTGGATTTTCCAGCAGGATAACGATCCCAAACACACATCGAAGGTCGTTAAGGAATTTTTTAAAACCAAGAAGATCCGAGTTTTGGAATGGCCATCCCAAAATCCGGATCTTAATCCGATTGAGCATCTTTGGGAATATGTAGAGAGACAAATTTCAGGTCGAAAACCTACAAATCAGAATGCTTTGTTCACGATAATCAAGGATGCTTGAGAAAAGATCTCAATAGATGTTTTGATTAAGCTGGTGGACTCAATACCGCGACGATGTCAAGCAGTAATTGATGCTAAGGGCTTCCCAACAAAGTACTAAACAGAAGAACTCAAAATTCTATCCATTAAAAGCACTTCACTTAGTAAAGAGTCTTTTTTTCTTAAACTTTTAATTTTGTCCGGATACTTTTGTCCATTCAATTTTTAGTTTTTTTAAAATAAATTTTTTGACTTTAAAGATTTGTTATTAAAGTAATATTTTTATTAATTGTCATTCGATTTTACGTATTCCAGTGAAAATTTGAATTAAATTGGACCATCCAGTCAAAAGTTATAGACATTTTTGTGTTTGTCCGGATACTTTTGGCCGCTACTGTAGCTTAAGATGATTATGTTAGGTTTGACGCTTTGACCACATGCTGAGAATATTTGTGAGACTAATGATTATATTCTATGTCCTTTAATGTACTTAAACGTCTTGTGTAACAGCAACAAAGTCAAATTTTAACTGTCATCAAAAATTCAAATTTTGAGTATAATTGGTATAATTTAAAGTTTAAAATCATTCAAAATATAAACGTTACAAAACTTAAAACTGCATTCCAGCACTAAGCAAAGCTTTTGTTACTCATTAGATCAGCTGTAATTCGTGTCAAATTTCGTTATCAGATTGTTTGAGTTCGATTGCATTTAGCACTGTTGAACATCCAGCCAAGATGCAGTGTCCGATTTCAAGGAAATTTTCATACTTTGTACATATTATTATGTCCGCATGTCATCAAGGACGACTTGTGGATTCCAGAGAGATTCTGACCGTAAGTGAATAAGCACAAAGTCATGAATTTTTGTGAGTCAAATTTCTTGAAATTAAGAAAATGATATTTAAGTCATTTAATCGCTCGTTCTGTTCATTCCTTTAACAAACTTGTTTATGATGATTCTCAGCTATTGATTTTAAATGCGGAATATTATTAAATACCTCCGACGATCGATTTAATATAACTTAATATTGAGCAGATTATACCGTACTTTAAGCGATATTAGGTGTTACGAATTTTTTATTCATGAATAGAACAAGTTTATCATGAGATACATTCTTTCGGATCGCCTGTATTAATTACTGACTCAAAGCAATTTTTATAAGCTTGTTGATCAGATTTCTTAATTTGACAGATGTCATTTCGTAGATGTCTGATATAGATGCTTTATGTCCTGTCAATGATTTGATTCAATTAGTAATAACCGTCAGTTCTCATCATTTGTCATGCTGTTTATGTCCTTGCTTGGTCTGTTTAGTTTTGTAAATGTGGCTGTGTTAGCAGTTTGTTCAGCTATTCACTGTCTCTTGCTTCACACTTATACTTTTTCAAAATGTCAGTTTTTTATTTTTGAATTTTAACAGCTCTTTTAAATTTTTGAAAAACTTTAAATTTTGAATTTTTGAGAGCCGTTAATTTATTAATATTTTAATTTCAGTACCTGAAAGACGAAAGCTCATTCATAAGTTAAAAGACAGTTTTTTTTATGGTTTTAAAATTGTTTTTCACTGTTAAAAGGAAAATATTTCCGAAATTTTTTCATCTTCTTTATTTTTGGTATCGAATTTGAATTCTTTTTTTTTGTTTCCTTTTATTCTACTTCCTTCTTTTCTTTTTTTTTCGTCCGAAACTTTCTTTACTCGTTCTTTTTTTATTTACCATTGCATGTTTTTTGTTTTCCATTTTTTCAGTTTTTAGACATCCTTATAGACTATTACATTTTATATTTCATTAACATAACTCGCAATACAACAAATTTACATTCAAAAAAGGGCAAAATGTCATCTTCCTGTACTCAAATCAGCATAATATTATCGTTATTACTATGAAAATTGTTTTGTAAAAAGCCATTTTGAGTGTTAATCTTTTTATAAAAAATCTCAACATGAAGAAATTGATTAATACGACAAACTTATAGATTTAAAAAAAGGATATTAAGGAAAAATTAGATAATTCCTGTTTATAAAAGAGTTCACGTAATGTATGAATATTCCATTAAAATTGCTATTGCATATTCTACTGCATCTCAAAACAATCAACTGTTTCGAATTATTATTCTTTTAATTAAAAATGAGAAAGGAAAATAATAAAAATAAATAAATGAACTTATTCTCCATCCTCATAGCCGCGTCTCCAAGAGCGTTCTTCTTCTTCCATTTCTTCATCATCTGAACCTTCTTTCTTCTCCAATTTGACCGACTCATATTTTGGACTCTTACCACCAACATCCTCTGCCTTTTCAATCATCTCTGTTGCTTCTTCTTTTACTTGCACCTTTTCAGTAAACCATTTGATCTGTTTTTAAATATAGAAAATATATCAGTAAGTTAACAAACAGTCGATAACACAAAGTACAAATTAATCATTTTTCTTGGGAAATAAGCACGTATTAAAATTGACAGTTATTTTTTGAATAATCCCTGGATTTATATGGTTTTGAAATCCAAATTTTTTGACAACTGTTAAATTTAAAAAATTAAATAACCGTTATTTCAATCCAGACTTTCAATTGCATTCAATTTCCTAAAATCATGACTAATCAGTCTCAATGATCAAATCTCAAACAATGCAATGAACAATAATAGAAAAATTAATTGAATAATGCGCAATAAAATAAGTTGATATACATACAGCTAATGCCTTATCTTTGAACTGTCGTCCACGAGCTAATGCTTGCTCAGCATTTATACGATTTGAATATGACAACACTAAGCATGGCACTTTATCATCCAATACATTTTTCGTGATCTCACCGAAATGCTATAAAAAGAACAAAAAGAAGTTATTATTTAAATAAGCAATTATAGGAATAGCAAGTGATATTTGAGTATCGATGTATATTCAAACCTTAAAATGTCCTAAGACAGCATCGCTCTCATCCATGTTAAATCCACTAATTTCTAGTGTTGTAGGTCGTCGATCGACACTCGTGGAACCAAAACGTGCAATAGTTGGTCTCACAATTTGTGGTCGTGGACCAGCTGCTGCAAAATGTGGACGATTTAGGGACTTTTGAAGTTCAAGATATCGCTTTTGTATGGCATATGTATCATTATCTCCATGCTGTTCCTTACTAATTAGTTCCAATTCGCAATCAAGCAGTTCCTTTTGTTGTTGTTCCTTTGTCTTACGTTGCGGAGGTGTTGTTGTCTGCATCTTTTGAACAATTTGTGCTGATTCAGATTCAAGCTCAAGCTTCATTTTATCAATAATCATTTGGAGTGACTTAATGGTATCCATTAAATGACCTCTTGCTGGATCCATCGGATCAGTTTTCTCTAACTTGTCAAATAACTGTTTCATTTGTGAAACATTCTTTTGCACCAGTTCCTGCTTCTTTTGTAATAGACCGTGAGCTATTTGATAGACTTCCTTTTGTTGTTCCTTTTGTTTCTTCTTTATCATCTCATTTGTTGCACGACTCAATTTAGCTGCCTTTAATCTTTGTTGTTGTGCCGCTTGTTGAGCTGCAATTGTAGCTGAACTCACGAATGTTGTTGACGGTTTTGATACTGTAGGTGTTGTCGCGGAACTTGTCGTTGCTGAATCTTGACTATTATTATTATTATTAATATTATTACTATTGTTATTACTTGACTGTGATGCATTTGACTGATTTGTATTATCGCCAGACGATGCTTGTTGATTTGCTGATGGCTGATTATTTGGTGTGTATGGGAAACGTCTCATTGACAATTCTGATGGTTTTGGTAACGAGCCTTGAGCTCCGCTCATTGGATTATCACTATTTGCGCCATTTCCTGTATGCCAAAACACTTTAATAAATCGATTATTAAGCACAGCTTCTGTACTTCTGTAAGCAACATTTGCTTCAGCATGCGTTGAAAATGTCACAATAGCCGCTTCTGGATCAGTTTCATAAGCAATTTGGATGTTTGTGATTTTACCAAACTTTGAAAAATGGTCATTAAGATGTGAAATTGCATTTAATCCTCTCGGAATTTTTCTCAATTCTAACGAGCAATTTGCTTGTGGATTCATAGGCATTCCAGAATTTATACGTGGTCCAAGACGTGCATTAATTGGTAATTTTCTTTTTGGACCTTCATTATTTGCTGCACCTTCTTCGGCATCAAATCGACGTTTCATTTGTGGTGCCATTTCTCCAGGAACAGACGAGACATTTGGATCCATAACAGGAACAGAGATTAATTCACGAGGCAACGAACCAGTCGGTGGCATATTAAACATTCCAGGACCTCCACGAAATCCACCAAAATAAGGTGGTCTTGGTCCAGGAAGCATCATACGATTAGATGGTGGAAATCCAGGCCCACTTCTATTCCATAAATCTGGATTGTCTGGATTATATTCAGTATGATGAGGTGCACGAATATTAAGAGAAACTGGTGCCATTCCAATTTGTGGATTATTTAAATCCTCCAATACAACTGGATCTACACCATGATCCCATGGGCATGTTTCTCCACGCATACAATATCCTTTCTCATCAAAATCACGACATCTTTTGCTCTTATTCTCAAATGGGAATTCTTCAGGTTTTGGGGATATTTTTCTATAAGTTGGTGACATTGAACGACTTCTAGACCTCCTCGGGAGATTTCCACGATATGGCTTTGGAGATACTCTATCATTCTTACGATGATCATAGCGTCTGGCTGCTGATGCAGCAGCTTGTGGTGATAAATTACGATATGAACGATTTTGTTTATCACGTACATAATCATTATTATTTGCTAGTCTTCTCTCACGTGATCTTGATCGTCTAATTCTCTCCAGTGATTTTGATCTGGATCGGCTTTTTGATTTTGATCGACTCTTTGAGCGATTTGATATTCGTCTACGACGCATATCTCGATTATTTGCATCAGTTAATGTTTTAGAAATTGGCTCTTGACTCTTACTCTTACTTGGTGTTGTCACAGACGTTGTTTTTCTATTAACTGTTGAGATCCTATCATATCGTCCTCCTTCATCGGCAGATTCTTTGGTTCTTTTAATTCCACCAGATGAATTTGTCGTATTATTACTTGACTGGCTGCTAGTAATTACGGGAGGTGTTGTTTCACGTTCCTTAATTGGATTCGCCACTACGACATTCTGATTCTTATCACTTGAACTCACGGTGATGTACTCCTGATTTTGAATTACACTAAATAACTTGTCCAGAAATGGTTTTGTCTCTTTTCCTAAAAACACATCCAATTGTTCTGCCATGCATCCAGTTAACTCGATTTGCGGCTTGTCTTTCTTCAGCAGAGCCAGTACGTATTTTGCGAGTGCAGTTGGGTCGGCATCACATCTGCAGATGAATTTATATCAATATTTACATCATAAACATTTTTTGAACATTTATACTCACAATGGTTCTAAGACTGGCGTTAGCCAACTCTTTAAAGCGTCTGGATTCTCTATATGCATTTTTAATTCTGACTTGTACTTGTACTTGTTGTTAAAATGATGTATGCAGTATGTCTAGAAATAGAAATGAAAATAAGAAGAAAAACGATGAAAATGATCATCACATACAGAGAGACAGAGATATAGGAGAGGAGGCAAGCAAGCAAGCAACGAAGGAGTAATTTCCAAAAATAGTATAGCCGCGCTTTGGGAGAGACGTAATGAAATCAGAGGAGAAAAAAAAATATAAGAAATGAAAGAACTAGTAAATGGTATGGATGACCCTGAGTAATATTTGTGCGAGACAAATAAGTATGTGGCATATGAATTTTCATATATTAGAAAGAAAAAGGCAGTAGCTTGATAAGAGAGATGATGATAAGAAGTACATTACTTGGTCATTAAGTAACTATTGTGCGTTGGCTACATCATCGGATGTTGAGAGAGAGACAGAGTAATATGACATATTCTAGTTAATGACAGTATTTTTAGATTCGAATGAGCATCATTGTGAACGATAAAATGTATGAAAATTGAAAATTTACTACAACACACAGTTTTACTGCTGTGGCTAGCTTTATACGAGCGAGTAAATGTTGTTTTTTTTTATGAAAATTGAACACACAATTGGGACATATTTATTAATTTTGACGGATCGCGTACAATTTGTACAGCTCTCCTATTAAGAGTAATGTGGATATACTGTATAGTCAATTCTACGTGACGCGTAAAGCGAAACAAGCCTTATATTTCGTCATCAATTTTAATTCATTCACAAATCATTTAATTCATATGACCTTTATATAAGTCAAATAATCCTTTTAAGCCACATATTTAGTTGAATTAGACGTGAATTAATCAATTATTCGATTTTTAATTTGTTTTATAAAATATTTCCAAAGGTCAACATATCTTTTACACTTTTACGCATTAATTCGTATTATTTCCTTAAATTTCCATATCACTTACATTATTTAATATTCCTTTATGATTTTAATATCTATTCCTTATTGTTTTAATGCTGTTTTGAACCTTTTTTTAATAAAAATTAAAAGATTTAAATTTATCTTGTTTTGGATTTCAATGAACATTCGAGCAACTTCCAACTTCTGAGTTGTTATCCCCCTTCAAATTTGAATTTATTCCTCCCGTTGCACTTATTTCAGGTAGTTTAATAAATAAAAGTTTACTGCATTAATATTTTGATGCTGATTCATTCTGTATGCACAACTTGAAACTTTTGTTTTGATATTTCATTGTCAATTCATCCAATCATTCAAAAATCTTTATGATTTTGACAGTTGAGAATAGATTTGAATCTTTACATTACCGGATTTCCCGCGTTTTCAATGTTGTTTAACCGATTCTTTAAAAATAAATTCGAATTTTTCACATTTTAAACTATAATTAAGATTTCTCGGTAAATATGGACTTTCTAGAGTTTTCGTCCATTTCCAGTGAACAAAGAGGAAGTATGGTATGTATAGACTATCGAGTTGATATGCTATAATGTCTATTTAATGATAAATTTCAATAATTGCGAAAATGCGGCAAACTATACAAAGTTTATAAATTTTTAAGGCAACTGGAAGATTGAAACTTACGAATGAAGCGATTATATGGAAGTCTGATAAAACAGGCAAAGTTGATGAGATTAGTTCAGGTGAAATTGAATGTGCTAATTATCAGAGATTTGTTGGACATTTTGGTTTGCGACTTTTCCTCAAAAATGGCACTTTGCATCGATTTCAAGGCTTTAAGGAAGACGAAAAGAAGCTCGCTGATTTCTTTAAGAAGCACTATAAACTTGAGATGCTTGAAAAAGAGCTATCAATGAGAGGATGGAACTGGGGAAATGTTAATTTCAAAGGAGATGTCCTTAGTTTCGATATTAATGATAAAACAGCTTTTGAAGTTTCCATTTCGAATGTATCGCAATGTAATCAAGGCAAGAATGAAATTACATTAGAGTTCCATCAGAACGATGATGCACCAGTTAGCTTAATGGAGATGCGTTATCATATTCCAACAACCGAATCTAGTGAAACAGATCCAGTTGAAAATTTCTACAACAACATAATTAAGAAGGCTTCAGTTTTATCCGTTTCTGGTGATGCTATTGCTATATTTAATGAAATTCAATGTCTTACACCTCGCGGTCGTTATGATATTAAAGTATTTCAGTCATTCTTTCAACTTCACGGTAAAACTTATGATTACAAGATTCCATTATCAACAGTATTGCGGCTATTCCTTCTTCCACACAAAGACAATCGTCAAATGTTTTTCGTCGTTTCCTTAGACCCGCCAATTAAGCAAGGTCAAACAAGATATCACTTTTTAGTGCTCCTATTCGGAATGGAAGAAGAAACAACTATTGAATTGCCATTCACTGATATGGAACTAAAGGATAAATATGAAGATAAATTGGCAAAAGAAATGTCTGGTCCAATTTATGAAGTTCTTGGTAAAATCATGAAAGTTATCATTAATCGAAAATTAACTGGTCCTGGAAGTTTCATTGGACATTCTGGAACGCCAGCTGTATCATGCTCATTTAAAGCTGCTGCCGGTTATTTATATCCATTAGAAAGAGGATTCATTTATGTCCATAAGCCACCATTACACATTAGATTTGAGGAAATTGCTTGTGTTAACTTTGCTCGAGGTGGTGGTTCCACTAAAAGTTTTGATTTTGAAGTTGATTTAAAGTCAGGAACAACACATACATTCAGTAGTATCGAAAAGGAAGAATATAGCAAGCTTTATGATTATATTGTGTCCAAGAAAATAACTGTTAAGAATACTGGCAAGATGACATCGAATTATAATGAAGATTTTGGTGATTCTGATAAGGAAGAACCTGATGCATATTTGGCAAGAGTTAAAGCTGAAGCACAAGAACGAGATTATGGTGAAGAAAGTGGAAGTGATGAGGAATCAACAGACGAAGATTTCAATCCAAACGAACAAGAATCTGATGTTGCTGAAGAGTTTGACAGTAATATTAGTAGTTCCAGTGGATCTGAAGGCGGTTCTGGTGATGAGGAAAAGAAGAAAAAGAAAAAAGAAAAGCGTGAAAAACGAGAAAAGAAACGTCAAAGTTCGCCCAAGAAAAGTTCAAAGAAAAATAAGAAAGATCGCGATGAAAATGCACCTAAACGTCCACAGAGTGGCTACATGATTTGGTTCAATGAGAATCGTGAGAAAATCAAGAAGGATAATCCAGGCATAAAAGTAACAGACATTGCAAAGAAAGCTGGTGAACTTTGGTCAACAATGAAAGACAAAAAGGAGTGGGATGAGAAAGCAGCTAAAGAAAAAGAACGATACACAAAGGAAATGGATGAATATAAAGCATCAGGCGGTGGACCTGTTAAGCCAAGCAGCAGTGCTGGAGGAGAAAAACGAAAGAAGGAAATTAAACCTGCAGCAAATTCTGGCTCAGGTGCAGGTGGTGGATTCAAATCAAAAGAATACATCTCTGAAGATTCAAGCAGTGGAAATGACGAGGATGGCAAGAAAAAGAAGAAAAAGAAAAAGGTAATATTTATAAAGGTTTTTGTGAATTTAAATTTTAATCGGTTTTCAAAAAATGTAAATGTTGTTTTGAATTCATTGTTTAATTTTATTGACATATTTGTAGGCAAAGAAAGAAGAAAGCCCAGCTGTCAGTGAAGAGGAAGAAGACAAAAAGAAGAAAAAGGTAATTTTATAAGTTTTCAGAAATTTGAATTTGTAACGGTTTGCAATTATTTAAATCGTTTGCAGGCAAAGAAAGACGAAAGTTCTGCAGCCAGTGAAGATGAGGATGAAGGCAGTGATTAAATCTCAACATACTTGCTACATTACAAAAGTTAATTTTCCTATATTTTGTCTACCTTGTTTTGTAAGTTATTTTCATTACGAATAAACTCCTGAAAGATGTTTAATTAAGAAAACAAAACACAATTCATCTCTGCTTCTTCTCATATTGTATGATTATTATTATTTATTCGAACGAATATTTGAGAGACAATAGACAAAAACACTATCATATCATATCAACTACACGAATACAGGATGTACGATAAACATGTAAAGTATTGTCATAAGCTTGCAAATAGCAGTAAAATGTTTCTATGAAGCAATTTATTTTGGAACGAATGTAAAGATTGCCGTAGATTCTTTTGGCATCTTGATCTCGTTGAGTTTGACTTTATTCTTTGGTGTATCAGCAAAGTTGTTGCTGACTAACACATAAGTCAAGTCTGATCCCAAAACGCTTGTTTCGTTGAACTTGGCAGTGATTTCATTCTTTGAAGGATTAACGACCACAAAGTATCCTGGATTGCCAGACTTCATTCTGTAAATAATATGAGAATTAAAAGTTATTTCCAATAAAGTTTGATAACAAGGTTGAGGCTCAATTTTCAGTCATAATTAGCATCTTGTTAAAATGCGTGACAAAAAATTGATTTCATACCATAAAATAAATGAGTCATGAATAGAAAGTTATTTGGTGAGCATAGATGATCTTACCTAAATCTGTTATTTCCATTAAAATATATTTAAATGCAAGCATAGAGTAATGTTAATGATTAGTATGGATTAATGGTTAATAGTAATAAATATATAGGGATAGAGCATAAAACAATAAACATACCTAGAATAAGCAAAAGCTGTGTTGTTCTCGCTCAAGTAAGCTTCAAAGTTTCCATGCTGGAAAACTGTTTCGTGTTCTTTTTGGATCTTTGTGTACAATTCAGTGCTATTATTGAAATAGATGAGATCATCGTATTTGGAGATTTGAACGCCATTGAGCATACCAATGAATAGCTTGAATGCAGACTCATCAAAATGTTCATATGCTTTATGGCCATATTCAATCTGCATCCATTTTGTAGAATCAGAACTGAGATGTTCATGAATTTTATCGAAATTATCTTTCAAGATTTTTGCCTTTGTGGCATCAGGCGAATGAAAAACGGAATTAATGAATCCAAATCGTGGCATTTCAAATCCAAGGAATTCGCCAACAGCATAATTTTCCATATGATTTGATATATCATCCTTAATTGTTAAGAATCCTTCATCATTTGTAATATTTTTAACGTATCTGTTAAGATCATGCAGCAATTGACCAAGACCTTTTTGGAAAGTTGTTTGTGTATGTTCATAAAATTCATAATTACTGAGTGCAAATCCATGTGGATCTGATGTTGGCTTATTGTCTTCAAATGCAGCTTCCTTAATAATAAAATGTTTGGCATTAGACAACCGGAATCCTTTAACGCCGATTTCAGCAAGTTTGGCCATAACTCCCTTTAACTTATCTTGTGCAAGTTCATTGTCGAGACGCAAATCATAATTATCACCAAACTGTTTCAAATAATACTTGTTGCTTCCTTGATCCTCCCATGCATTGCCTGGTTCTCCACCTTTGACTTTAATAAAGTTTGTCTTCTTATCAGACGTAACAAAAGCAGTCAAACTGTCACTATCTCCTTCTAATGCCTTCTTCAACAACTCATCATCCTTCGTGACATAATTTGGTGTCAAATCAATGACTACATGAATGTTCTTTGCCTTAAACTTGTCAACAAGTTTCTTGATTTGATCCTGAACATCATCAATCTTGTACGTTTTATCTCCTGGCAATTCGTAAATTACACCTTGGACTTGATGCTTAGCAAAATCATCAACACTTACACTGTCTGCATTCTTATCGAGTAAAACGAGTGGACCTTCTTTGTACCAAGGCAATGGAGTTGGTGGAGCGCATTTTGGGGCATTAATGATGATCAAAATAGCACCGACGAGCATTCCAATCCATGCAGCCCAGAATAGAATGAACATGAACCATCTAAATGTAGGGAGATATATTAATAATCATTGGATTTTGTGATATTGAAGGATGCAGGCACTTAAAATGGTCTGTTTTGAAGGAATGGAAGTTTACCGGTAAAAAACCGTTTAAAAACCAGTAAAACTGTTAAATTTGGGTATAGAAAATGATTATTTTAAGCAGTATCTTAGCAAGTGACCACAATAATAATAATGTGTGAAGGGCCCAACCTTTCAGCTGGAGGTACTGCGATTCAAATTAGAACAGAATCTATTGTACCACACCCTTTAGACCTACAGTTTATAGTGGGATCTGAACCACTTGCAAGCTCTGTACATTGCAAAGACACGAGTACGTCATAGCAAGTGACCACATCTAGAAACAAATTTATTTTACCTCAATTTAACCCAGAATGGATCGTTTGCATATTTCATCAATTCCTCTTTTGTCATTCCAGTAAAACTCTAATAAAATAGAAAAGAAAGAAAAAGAGAAACAGTAATCAGTCACAATTCATTCTGTGCTCAATTTAACTCTTGAACAATTTATCATTTAGACGATGAAACTTCATCTGATATGATATATGTGGAACTGAATAATAAAGATTCAAGGCTTTTTACTCGTCGATCAATTTCCTCCATGTTTAAGTGTGTAGCTATTGTAACTTATCCCTATAGAGATATCGATTGATGTAAAGTTACAACTAGACTGAGCATTTTCAAATTAATTTAGTCATATTTATAAAATGTATCACGAATTAACACTTTTAACTATCCGTTACGATCCGTGCTAATTGTAAACTTCAATAATCAATCGTCAACTTCACAGAGGTAGGAGATGAATATTGATCTCGAACCAGACTTGGAGTATATCCAACTCAACTCACCTTTTCAGCACTCTCGATTTCAATTTTTGCATCACCATTTGGATCTGCTGCAGCGATGAACTTTACTTCGACATTTTTTAAGGCTAGAGTTTCCTTATCATCAGTACCCAGCATCTTTTCATCTGCTCCATCTTGAGCATCTAAATTTTCACGGACCATATTTGAGTTCTTTAACGTATCTCCACTAACTGTAAAATGTCAAAAACTTGGATTATTTTGCTACTGCCTTTCCAGATCATTAAGTTATGAGAAGTAAGAAAATTAATATTCAATTGAGATTCTAACTTCGTGTACGAAGCTATGAGCCACAATATTCGGAGAATGTGTGTATATTCTGATAAAAATGAGAATGTATCGTCAGCAACGATGACGTCATAAATACATTTGAATATTTATCATTTCAAGATCATTAAACGTTTTTGTAGAATTAGCATGTCGACAGTTGTCTGCTGACGATTGTGAATTTTTAATGATTGGACATTACTGTTTTGTGTTAGTCTGCAGATATATTTTTGGGTGCACGGAGATAAAGAGTAATGAGGCATAACTTTGGAACATTAGCAATGCTGTTTATTGGAAATCTTAGCTAATTTCTAGTCTTTTGTAAGGGGCCATTCACTTATTACGTAACGCTTTTAGGGGGAGGGGGGGGGGGGGTCTAAGATTTTGTTACGGTTCAAACAAGGAAATTTTTTTTTCATACAAATTTTGTTACGAGGGGGGGGGGGCTAAGAAGTCATTTTTTCGCGTTACGTAATAAGTGAACAGCCCCTAAGAGGATTTAATGACATGATTAGCAAAATTAAGTGATATCAGGTCACAAATTAAAAATAAATCGTGAGATTAACTAGTGTATCGGGTAGAAACCCAATGCGGATTATATTCACACCGTACTATCATAAGTCTTATGAATAGACCAAGATTTGCCCATCATAAGTATGAAGGTATGAAGCTTGATAAGTCAACTAAGCTTCGCTCAGCATAAGTTTGAAGTTATAAAGCTATCGCATAAGCTGAGCTACGCTCAGCATAAGTTTGAAGATATGAAGCTAGAGAGGCAGCTGAGCTTCGCTCAGCATAAGTTTGAAGTTATAAAGCTATCGCGTAAGCTGAGCTATGCTCAGCATAAGTTTGAAGATATAAAGCTAGAGTGTCAGCTGAGCTACGCTCAGCATAAGTTTGAAGATATGAAGCTAGAGAGGCAGTGGAGCTTCGCTCAGCATAAGTTTAAAGATATAAAGCTAGAGTGTCAGCTGAGCTACGCTCAGCATAAGTTTGAAGATATGAAATTAGAGAGGCAGTGGAGCTTCGCTCAGCATAAGTTGAAGTTATAAAGCTATCGCGTAAGCTGAGCTACGCTCAGCATAAGTTTGAAGATATAAAGCTATCGAGTCAGCTGAGCTACGCTCAGCATAAGTTTGAAGGTATAAAGCTTGACGAATATGCCAAATATTCTTTAAAAGTTTTTTAAAAAAATTTTCATCCAAAGTTGAATTTTATAAAAATCACAGTCAACTTTTGTTTTAAAAAATTCGTAAGAAAGGAAAGTTTTTTGCCATTTCTGAAGCAACGGCTGTTCCTACCTTGCCCAAAAACAATACAGCTCTTCTATAGAGTAGCACGGATCAAATGTAAAAAACTAGAAGTCTCTACGATGTCTCGTTATTGAGATTTCTTGCTGATTAACTTGCTTGCTTGTTTGCTTACAGAAAGCTTTTTTTGCGATTTTCTCAGCAATGCCACAACCAATTTGAAATCTGTTTTTTGAAAATGATGTAAAATTTCAGGCACAAACTTTTCTTCTTGCCCTTTTATAACCAAATTTACTTTGTTTTCTCACAAAATGCGAAAAACTGATTTTTCAATCTGAACAAAACCAATAGATTCACACGTGAAAACGGTGTGAATATAAAAAATTAAATCCAGCATATTAAATCTAAATCCAGTAAATATCAGAGTTTGCACAAGACATCCAGTTCATGGATTAAATTTTCATTAACAAGCTATTTTCTATTTCTATTTTAAAACCGCATGTGCGGATTGATGAATGAAAGGTATTTTACTACAAATACACCAGAAATAGCTATGTATAATAATAGCGAGTTAAAATAAACTTTCACAGTTTTCATTCTACGAATTGTAAATGCTCGACATTATTGCATCAGCATAAAACGGACAGTCAGCAAAAGAAAAGTGGTTACCCACTGCGAATGGACTGAAAAATGTCATGAATTGCAAAAAACAGACATTGAAGAAGAAAGAATAAATCTCAGCAGCGTCATTAAACTTTTGCAATTGATTATTTCCCTTTGACATGCCCTTGATAAGATCCCAGTTTAATTGATAAGATTTATCGCAACATATTTAATTAATATAATTAACAAAAGCAAGGAATTTACCGTGATCAAGTCCTGTGTCTTCTGAAATTGGCTTATAAGACTCACGATTATCTTCAGAATTATTGAGAGACTGCCTTTTCTGCTCAATATCCAATTTGTTACTAGTTAACTTTTCTTCGCTCATATTGATCCTCTTATTTCTCTCACTTGTTTCTATGTCTATGTCTTAGTTGTTAGAAACTAGTATGTTTAAAATATTTAATAGATTTCTGTATTCGTAAAAGAAGATAAGTAATATTAACACACGCAAAAAAGTAAAACAGGTTTTAAAAGTGCTACAAAGTTCTTATGGATGTAGCGCCTTTAAAACGCCCATTAATAGACAGTGCTATTTTATTCTCTAATTTAACGGATAGTCTGCATTTTAATTTTATTCCAAAAACCTTACAACAGCAATTATTAAATTATTAAAAATCACTTTAATTACAGCATTATCATAGAATTTTAAAGGTTTACAGACATAGTGACTGCTCATACTAAATACTGCTATAATCATGCGCCAGAAACACGCAAGTTGACTCTTAAAAATTCAATACTAAGTCGGTTATTTGAAGAAAAAACATTTGTAAGGTTTTCGACTGTTCTGAAGTTTGACTTTGCTCGCTTTTTTGTAGGTTTGTAAATTTCAATTATAACTAATTTAACAAGCTTTTCCAGCGTTATCATACACTTTCCTTGATTAATTGCATTAACAGCTGTCTGTTTTATAACATGTAATACATCAAGAATTAGTAGAGTAGTTATTTTGCATAGAAAATCGATTTTTAAAGAGCATAGAAGTGATTACCTAACAATATCCCGTCAATAGTTCAAGAATTTATTTTTTTAGAAAACCTTGTCACTGGATCTTAATTAAAGATGGCAGAAGAAGCACCAAAACCAGTAGGAAGACCAATGCGATTCCCATATACATGGAGCGCTAAGATTGCTCAATTTCCATTGAAATGGTATGTCAACTCAAATCCATTGTGGAAATACTACTTCCTTGGTGTGATAGTGGCACTTCCAGTTTTCTATAAAGTCGATAGATTGTGTAAGTTTCTCACTTTTTACCTATATTAACTACAGATTGTTAATTGAGGATATTTCTTGTCATCATTTTAGCCAACAGTCCAGGAAACGTCGCAAAATGGGCTGAAAGCAAACGCAAGGAAGCTGAAGAGCACCATCACTAATTTTATTTTTAATGCCAATTTCAATTTATTAAATTCAAGATGTAAATCGCTGAAAGAAAGAATAAATCCATCAAATACAATGTCGTGTTAAATAGGAGCAAAAACAAGAAACGGAACCTTTGTGTTGCTTAATTTCCGAAGAAATTCGTTTTATTCTGTATTCTTTAATTAATAAAAACTAAACTTATCATTTTAAGTAGTATTTGTCCTAAACATCTCATGTCCGTATTCCGTATCATCCTCGGAAATAACGAATTCCTGACAGAAGTGCATTAAAAAAGAAGTATGAAGTAATAGAAAATGAAAAGTGCTTAAACTAAAGACTTACAAAAATATAATAAATTACTTCCGATACTTAATAAATTCACACTTGAAACAAAACTTAAATTAAATTTAAAGGTACTGCTACACAAAAGTCTAAATTCAAACAAATTATTTAGTCATGTCTGACTGCGTGAATGGCAAGTTCAACTCTCTGCATCGCTTAGCTACAAACTTTTCCAATTTAGCTCCAGACCTGGAAATAAAGAGAAATTGCTAGTTTCAATTAACATACACAATAACTTGATGCTTACTTGTAAATTTCGGAATTAGCGACGTTGTATAAATCGCAATTAAAGAACACAAGCTCGATATCTTTCATGGCTTGTTCATTCGAACTGTAACCGCCAAGATTGAGTCTAGATTTGATTTTTGAAAAGTCCATTGGTGTCTTAATTACTTCCAAATAGTCAGGAACTTCAGCAGTTGATACTGGCTTTGTGAATGGCCATGCATTTTTGTGCTTAATAACTTCATCAATTAATGTGCCGAGACTAATTGTATTAAAAGCATCAAATGATCGCTTTGAAGCTCGTCGTTCAGCAGCTGTTTCCTCTACAAACTTCTTAGAACTTCGTCTACCACGCAAATTATCTTCAACTTCTGGTGAATTTTTTCGTGATGGCCGTGCTGAACTTTTCCTGCTGCCCGATTTTCTGCTGTCTTTTTTGGATAAAACTTCATTGTCTGAATCGTCACTTTCAAAGACTTTCTTTGTCGATCTGCGACCACTTTTACGCTCTATTTTCCTTATTTTTACTGGTGGCTCATTATCGTCACTTTCTTCTTCGTCCTCGTCGTTATCCTGCTTCTCAGAATCAATATCTTCATCTATAATAGTCAAAACAGTTCGGTTAAGGATTATCAAATACTCAAAAGATATTTAATGACATGAAAAAATATGCAGCAACTTTTATTGGACACTTTTTATGAAAAAGAATCATTTGACGAGCTTGACAATGCTTGAAACGTTTGTGCTGCTTTTAAGAATAATTTCAGAATCGATGATACAATTAATATGAAATATGAGAAATAAACTATTCTAAACCTTTTTCCATTCGCCTGCGCTTGACACGTTCTTTGCGATTTTCTGAATTAACACATTTATTACACTTCCACGTCTTGGATTTAAGTGATTTCGCTGGTGGCTTAGAACAATCTAAATGAACTTGTGTGCCACAATCTTCGTTGCAACAATACAGCAACTTTTCTCCGTCATTTCCACAAACTGTACAAACTTCAGCTTCAGAATCACTAAAAAGAAATTTAGCGGTCATAATAATTTCAAATTTTCAACGGATTTCCAAAGTTCAAATTGCACACAGAATCGGAAAAAATGTTCAAAAATTCAAAAATAACATATTAATTAAACTTCATCTTTTAAATGCCAGATTAAAGATCTTAACTTAAGGCATATCCTATGAAAATATCTCGTCCCAATTTGATGTCTAACTCCAGAAATCATTAATTTAATCTCACCCAAAATTTGTTTACAATTTGTGTATGAAAAAAAAATATGATTTTTTCTACTTTAAGTTGTTATTTGGATGTCTTGAAAGCAGTTGCTAGCTAATTTAAGCTTAGCTTTACATATTAAAACAACAAACTCAATAGAAATCTGCTTATTAAGCCTTAAAAATGAATTGAAATCTGAGTATTTTTACAAAACTTAAACTATTCAGCAGTTAAAAAGTCTTCCAAAGACCTCTCTGAAACCTATACAAATCAATTAATTAAGCTTAAATCTATCTCCCATACAACTGGGGACATGCCGTTTGATGCCGTTTTCGAGATATTTGCGATCAAAGTTTACATCAATTTTCATACAAAATTTGATCATGCACAATATTTTTTGATAAACTTTTACAAAGTTTTGGTAAAAAATCATGTTTATCCTTTATATTAAGGACTGATTTTTTTAGCAATGAACGAAAACATTATCTAGAAGATGCTAAAAGATTCAAATCAAGAGAAATTAACAAAAACTTTCAATTTTCTAATGTGTCGGAAAAGTATTGTGCACAAGGAATTTTTGAACATTTTTTCCGAATCTGAATCATTGTGAATTGAGTTCTGTTTTTTTAAGTTTCAAAATTCTGTTATTGAAAATTTTAATTAATTTATTGTACATACACTGTATCTTGCGTATCATCATCGTCATCGTCGTCTGCCTCATCTTCATCCTCTTCTTCCTCAGATTCTGATTCTTCGATTACAATAACAGGTCGCTTGCGATTTCTTTTAATAATATAATCTTCTGGACGACATCTTGGACAGAACCAATCGCCGCTTGGAATTTGTGTAAGCTTTGGTTTCAAACAGAACATATGCCATCCTTTATTACACTGATCACAAAGGAGAGTTTGTTCTGGATCTGATTTACTTTTACACACTAAACAACCAATTTTTTCAGCTGAACGCGACCATTTAATGGAATCATAGAGTATGCTGTAGTGTAGAAATACCTGTAAAATGAATGATAATTAGGAACAAAAATTTATAATGATGGATTAAAGAGTGACATACTTGAGAAAAGTTTGTAGACTTCATTAATGATTCTTCCCATTTAAGGAGACGCTTTTTAGCCAATTCAAATGCTTTTGCTAGCAGTGCCTTATCTTTAGGATCTTTAGCAGGTCCAAACGGTGCACGAATAAACTTAATGTCTATCCCTTGTTCGACTTGCAATAGTGCCATAGCTAAATTCTTAACTTTAAGCTTAACACTTTCCATTTCACTGGTTTTTAATTGAATAGCATCAACGCCATCGGAATCAGCATCTGAGCAATTTCCTGAATCAATTGTTTGTGCTAAATCAAAATCTCCAACAGAGCTCATAATGTCACTTTCCTCATCTTCTACTGCTTCACTGCCGTTAGGACTTCCATTTTCTTGGACATGACCATTTGTTAAGCTACTACTTCCCCATTTCAAGTTATCATCTAGCGCGTAGTATTCACCTTCTTCGATATATTTACGCCATAAAGCTTTATCTTGTACTTTAATTTCCCCTAGACATCCTACACTAAGTTTATGCTCAAATTCTAAGATTGTTGCCCTTAATGTGCCATCATAAATTGTGCTTGGATTGGTTCCACTCTTACAATGGAAATTTGGATTATCGTATGCCTTACTCTTATTCGTTTTAGCCTTAACTATGCGTGCATTCTTCTTTAATTCTTGTTCCATGTCTACATCCTCGTCGACACTCACTTGAAGCTTCTCTAATGGACAATTCTTGATATAATCAACAATCAGATCACGATTAGCTTCCAATTGTTCACGCAACTTTGACTCACGATATCCACGAGTATTAAGGGACTCAATAAGTGCATCAATCTCTTCAGCTGTATGATAATAAGTCCAAACTGAACGTTGAATATTTTCCGAATGTACAGCACATGTGGATGGATCACAACTACACATTAATAAATCTTTTTGAACATCAAGGTCACTTTCTTTCTTCAATGCAATACTCTTATTACTAGTCTCTTGATTTGCTGTTCCATTCACCTCAACCTTATTCTCCTTATCATCACTCGAATTTGACTCTTCTGTCGAAATCATTTGCTTAATTATTCCATATCGCTGTTCCTTTGTACTGTGTGCTAGTGCTGGATTATTTTTGACAAATTTGTCTAAACATTTACCCGCAAATGTTATGTCATTTTCAACAAATAGTCCTGGCAATGCCTCAAAAATGTAATAATTACGAAATGCACGATCTGATCCAAGATATGTTTGATGATTAAAGAATATGGATATTTGGACTTTGAGATCTTTAAAGTATTGAACTTTATCTTTGGCAGAAATGGCATCAAGTTTTGCAATTTTTTGTTCAAGCTCTACCTCAGCATTTTTAATTAAAGCTTCCTTTTTCTTTCCATCTTCCATCGTTTCTAATGCAGCCATAGCTACTTTATGTTCTTCCTGCAATGTCTTTTTATCATCTGCTAATTTCCTCTCACGACGTCCTTCATTAATCCTTAAATTTCTATATTCAAGTCTCGCATTAACAGCCTGTTCAATACGATCCTCAATGACGTCACGAAGATTAGAGTACGTTAATATTTGATCAGTTAAACAGCTAAGAATACGTAGAATGTCACGAGTAGATAATTGAAATACGCTATATTGAGTAAGAAATTTAATGATGTGCGGATATTTGGATACAAAATGAAGTCCTGGATCGTCATAACTTTTATAACCACCGCGTGATTGAAATCGACTTTTTGATGACTTTTCAGACAATAGTGCACCCGAGCTCATAAAATGTAAGCGTAAAAGTTCACTGACTGTTGTCGAGTCGATAACAAGATGATTCATTTTTGTATTTAAATGTTTTTCCATCCACAATTGTACACGCGATGCATTTCTCATTAGATCAAGTTTGGAATGTTTTAATGGTACATCACCACTAATTCTATATTGAATCTCAATTTCATTTTCTTCCTCCATTTGTAGTGAAAATACTGTGCCTAAAAGAACCTGAATTATATCACTTAATGGACCGTTTACTTCCTTCAATACTAGAGCACGTTCAAGTATATCCATTGTTAAGCCATATGGGAATTTATCGCTGATTGATAAGACTTCGGGAAATGAATGAATAAATTCAAGAACTCTCATAAAATCTCCAAAGTACTTTTTATCAAGCACCGTTGAAATTTCTTTGGATTTTGGTAAAATTCTTTGATCAATAAGCTCCAAATCGTCGCGAGTCTGATTATGTTCACGAACAGCTGCTTGTATCTTTGCAAGCAATTTTGCTTTCTCTTCAGCAAGCTTCTTTTGTTTTTCAGCTTCCAATTCTGCCTTTTCCTTCTTTTTAGCTTCCAGTTGTTCTCGAAATTTCTTTGATTCTTCTTCGCGCTTCTTTTTATCTTCTACGGAAAGTTCTTTTGTTTTGGACGTTCCTGAATTATTTAAATATTTGGTGATATCACCTTGCTTACCTTCCTTACTACTTTTTTTCTTTTCCTTAATCGACTTTTCTTTACCACCATTAGACAAGCGTTTCTTGCTGTTTTTTTCCTGCTGTAGCTGAAGTTTCTTCGATATTTCAAAGTCTGGCAATTTACCAACAAAAATCTCTTCAGCTTTAATGTCTCTATCAATTACATACTTTTTAACAGACTCGGCTTTTACAACAAGCATACTATTGGATCCTTCAACGTGCTGTTTTAGGAACAATTTAGTTTTATCTTTTGTAAATATTGTCTTATCTCGACGCAAGTTTTCTGCACTTGTTGTCCATTCCTGTGGTTCTTTTTTATCATCGACGGCAGCAACACGATATTCGACTTTTTGCAAATCATATGCATTCAATGCACTACAATTAATTCTATTAATGACAATTTATAGCAATTTTAAGTAACAAGGTATGACTTACTCGTGATCTGTTGGGAATATGACTTGGACGACTTTACAGAATCGCCATACTTTTCCATTCAAAACATCAAGTTTCTCATCCTTGAAGAATCTCTCTTTGATTATATTAAAGACATCGTCAACAAGCTCTTTTAGCACTGATCTTTTTGTCCTTGAAGCTACTAAAATTACTGGACCACGAAGAGCTGACGGGAATTGACGAAGTAATTTCCTTGCTGTTTTCTCCGATGCGAGTGCTTCTGCATAAGTCAGTTCAGGTCTTCCAGTAAGTGAACATTGCCAAACAACGGAATTAGTAAGCATAACTCGCTCAAAGAAATCACTAAAGAATGATAGAAAATTATGAAATCCAATATGTCAGAACAAATGTTGGCGTTGTTGTATGTGCGATGTAAAGCACAAAAAATAGAACTTTAATATCCGAGGATTCGAAAAAAGTGTTATTTTGCAATTAATTAAGGAAACTTACTCGTATGACTTGAATATTTCTTTAGTTGCTTCACAATAGTACACTTCATCATCATCTTTAATCCCTTCAGGAATTGGATTACGCTTAAATGGCTTTCTTTTCAAAAGTGGCATCTTCGACTAAGTCTTACAAATCTTATATGTTGAAAAGCGGGGGAAAAAGTTTTTGCACTTTAAATCGATTTTTAACTAATTTAAAGCACTTTCTTTATATTTCATTTACAATCATTGGACACTTTGTAATCTTATTAAACGTCTTATACACTTTTTTAATTCCTTTGATCCATTTAACTTAATTAAAATATATTTTTTATTTGTTTCAAAATTTGAAATGTTTTTTAAGACTGAAATACAGGGTAAATGACTCAATTTTGTCACAGACTCAAGTTTACTGCACCTTCCCTAAAACTCTGATTTTCAAATAAACCGCTATTTTAAGAGCGCAAAGCTAGCAATTATTAAATTCCTTATATCTCGCTTATTTGATAATTCTAATGACTTTTATGAATGCTGATTACATTAATTTGATCAACGCTTACTGACTCCCTACTTTGAATTACCGTAAAAGATCTAATTAAGGATATTTTCTGATTCATAAAGTTTAAGGTTGCAAATGTTTCTCTTAAAATCAAACATTTGAATTTCAAAAAAACCGTTAAAGTTGAAACATGAATTTAAGAAACTTAATGGACAAATGCTAGTTCTTTAGAATGATTATTCTATATAATTGAAGATAATACTCAGAAATAGTGAAGAATACAGGCTTTAATATGAAATTTTGGATATAAATTGCTAAAATTTTAAAATTCTCCAAATCTGTGTTTCCACCCCTTGTCTTAGAATGTAAACATAAACAAACAGTTTAAAAAATAAATTAATTATTCGATTATTAAGCAAATTCAAGCTTTTTAAAGTATCTAAAAACAAAAAATGACATCAAAAAGTACTCTCAAAATGAACAGGAAAAAGGGAAAGTCAAAGATAAGCCTTAAATGTGAAATTTGCAAAACTATTTTAAAATCGGAATATTATTTTAAGAAACACAAAGAAAGAAGACATCCTGAGATTCCACGGAACTACATCTGCGACTATGATGGTACTAAACTGTTTATTATTCAATATTAACATGAATCTACAAGTCTTTTAATTGATTTAATTCCAGGTAAACATTTTGCAAACAAGAATTATTTAAGGATTCATATGGAACGGCATCAACAAGAGATCTTGACATGTAACATATGCATGAAAGCGTACAATTCAAAGATTATTTTAAAGAGGCACTTGCTTAGTGTAAGTAAACCACTTGAAAACAAAGAAAAATCAAATTAATTGTTTAATCTAATTCAACAGCATCTAGAAAAGTATCCGTGCGACGAATGCGGAGCTACATTTAGTCATAAAACACTCCTCAACAATCACATATCAATCCACAAGATGGAATTCACATACAAGTGTAAATACTGTACCAGAATGTTCAAAAACACAACATCCAGAAACAATCATCATCAAATTGCACATAAAAATAAGGAGGAACTGCATTTTAAATGCAACAAATGCAACATCTTTTTCGAGACAAAAGAAGACTTAAGGATCCATAGCTTTATACATTTCAATGGGGAAATCAAGACTTGCTTTCATTGTGATCAGATCTTTAAAACTACGAGATTATTAACTATTCATTTACAGAAGCACTCAAATAAGAAATTTCAATGCGAGTCGTGCCTGGAAAATTTCACATTTAAAAGTGGTTTAATGAAGCATATTCGATTAAATAGATGTAAAGGTCCACCAACAACTTTAGATGATGATCAGATGACTGAAGAGGAAATTAATAAAATTGCTAAGGAACAACTCGAATCAATTTCCTATAATCGCCTTAAAACCGTACCTGAAGTTGAAAAAAGTACTGAAAAGATTGAAGATTTAACGGAACTAGAAGTTATTGAGAATCAAAGTGATGTAAATGAACCAGAAATTGAAAGTTCAGTAGAAAGTGAACATGAAGAACAGACAATAAAAACGATTCTAGAACAAGATTCACCACAAAAGTTAAAAAGACCTGGAAGAGCTCATAATACTTATATCTGTGACAAATGTGGTGATTCAATAAAATACAGAAAGAATCTTGAGCTGCATATGAAGAATAATCATTTAAGGAAAAGCTATAAATGCTCAAACTGCTCGGAAGTTTTTAAAAGTAAAATTAGATATAAAGCACATTCATTACAGGCTCACGGAGTTAAGCAAAGGATTGCTGTTGAAATATTTGAATGTGCAGTTTGTAACAAGAAATTCGATATTAAAAGCATATATGAAGCACATAAATTATCGCATGAAAATACTCGTCCACAAGTCTGTAAAATATGTAATGCGTCATTCAAAAGTATTGGAAACCTTAAAAGACACAATCTCATCCATATTGATGATCGAAACTTTTTATGTGATTTATGTCCAAAAAGTTTTAAAAGTGAAAATGCTCTTAAAATACACAAAAATGCAGTTCATGCATCAGTTAAAGTTTATGTCAGCTGTCCACACTGTAAGATTATTTTACAAGAAAAAAATCTGAAAATTCACATTCATAATCAGCACACAGAAGAAGGTCAACAGAAGCCATTCACATGCAGTGTATGCAGCAAGACATTTAAGAATGAATTTCTATTAAAAAGGCACTTCGAGTACCTTCATTTCAGTTCCAATCGAGGAATAGTCTATAATTGTGAGCAGTGTGGACTGACTTTTAATAGACAAAGAGATTTAAGGATTCATTCATTTGAGCACTTTGAAGGAACAATTCATTCTTGTTTCTGTGGTAAAAAGTTTAAGAACAAAAGATTACTCTTGATTCACTCGACTGTCCATACTTCTGATACCAAATTTACATGCAATTTGTGTGATGCAAATTTCAAGACATCTGGTGGACGAAGGAAGCACATAGCAAAGCATCATAAAACAGAATTAAATGTAGAGCATTTAGAGATTAAGTACGATGAGAATGTTTCAGCATTTTAAGCCTTTTTTTATTTGTTATGTTTCTGGTTAATTCAATTACATTTTTTTATGGATTAAAATGATATAAAACCTTAAAACTAATTATTTTTAGAGTTTTTCTCTTCTTAATTTAATGTTTCAGCACTGCTTAAAATATACTGTTTTAAGTCTTTTTCTTAGAACATGCCATGTCCTCTTGATGATCCTCGGAATCCCCCACGTCCTCCTTCGCGGGGCTTGCGATTTTCAAATCGTTCAGCCATCTTTAAAAGTTCTTCTGGAACTTCTTGATTTGCTTCCTTCAAGATATTTATTAAATCCTTAGCAACACCCCAATCTGATCGAGTTAATAAACTCAAACTTATTCCAGTTTTTCCAGCACGTCCTAAGAATCAATTTATATAATTATTCCAAAATCCTAGTCTAATAATATTTAATATAGCTTACCAGTTCGACCAACTCTATGAACATATTCTTCAATATTACGTGGAAAGTCATAATTCACAACATAAGATATATCTTCAATGTCAATTCCACGACTAGCAACGTCAGTGGCAATTAAAATATTTACTTCTCCTGACTTGATATCCTCTAAAGCCTGCTCACGATCTGATTGTTCTCGATTACCATGAATTGATTGACATTGTATTCCTTTTAAGACGAAATCACATGATAGAGAATCAGCTCGATCTTTCTTTCCACAAAAAATAATTGCCTTGTCATTCTTGCCAAGTTCCTGTTGTGCGAAGCGGACAATTCGTTCATACTTGTCGTCTTCATCAATAATTTCAATTCTCTGACTGACTGTATGTGTTGCAGCTAGATCAAGACTTCCAATTACAACTTGATAAGGATTTTTCATGTATGAAGATGCAAGTCGACGAACGCCAGTTGGCCATGTTGCTGATGTCATTACAGTCTGACGATCATCACGAATGTCAAGCAAAATTTTACGAATTTGAGGCTCAAATCCCATGTCAAGCATACGATCAGCTTCGTCCAAAACCAAATAAGTGATTGATTCAACTTTAATGTAGTTTGATGCAACGAGATCATTCAATCTGCCTGGCGTAGCTATAATAATTTCAATTCCAGATTCTACAACTTCAATTTGCTTGCGACGATCATTTCCACCATAAAGACAGACTGCACGGATTCCACGATACTGATATTTTGAAACTTCTTTTTCAATTTGTATGGCTAATTCACGAGTTGGACATAAAACAAGAACATTTGGACCACCTCGAGCAGCTATTCCACGAGCATGAGGTTGACCATCAACATGAATTAATGCTGGAAGTAAGAATGCTAATGTCTTTCCAGTTCCAGTTTGTGCAATGCCAATACAATCATTTCCTTTCATTAATATTGGCCACATTTGACTTTGAATCGGCGATGGTTTAGTAAATCCTTGCTTATGGATTTCATTCATTAGATCAGGAAACTTTTCAAATGCATACTCAAAATTAGTAATGGGCTTTGGCATTGAACTTGTGGGAATGTCTTGCTCAAAGACTTTAGAGACTGAAATGTTATTATTTTCTTCACGGAACTGCTCAACTTGTTCATCAGACATTTGTGATGTCTTTGGATGTTCTTCATAGAAATCCTTGATAAGCTGTGGACACTTTGCCCAACGTTCTTGACGTGCTAAATCACAATCTTTATTTAGTTTCTCCCAGTCAATTGGTGTAAATGCTTTTGGTTCCGAAGACTCAACATTGTTATTATTATTATTGTCATTTGATCCTGTTCGATAATTGTTGAAATTACCGTCCCTTGATCGCTTATTATATGAACTATTATGACGTTCATAGCTGCTGTTATTTTTATTATCAGCATTCGAATTGCTTTTGTATGTATTTAAGCTTGGCTGGAAGTTTGCTTTCATTTCAATTTCTGCACTATTCCAATCTTCAGGATTGCTTTTCCTTGGTTGTTGATAATTATTTCGAGCTGGTGGATGTTGGAAAGTCGTTCCACTACTTCCCCATTCATTCTCATTATTAGAACTGCTGTTATAACGATTTACTTGCTGTTGCTGATTATTACCATAATTATTGAAACCTCCACGACTTTGTCGAAATTCACGATTTGGATAATGTTCAGGTTCACTCCGTTCGTTCCTTGTTTGATCATAATTTCGTCCATATCCACCACGATTATTATCATATCTTTGAGTATATCCAGAGCTTCGTTCATTATTATCAGATCTTTGATTATATCCTGAATTTCGTTCATTGCTATTGATTCGAGGACGAGATTCATACGAATTTCCTTGTCTTTCATTCAAGAATCTTTGACGAATGACTTCAGTTACATTTTGAATATCCTGATCTTCGCCTTGAAATTCAACAGTTCGCATACCATCCTGATCATCTTCCTTTGAAATTGATATACGAACATTGTGTTCTTCCTGCATTTGCTTAATAGTGGCTCCACGAACGCCTATCAACTTTCCAACATTTCGTCCTTCAATTTTAAGCATCTTTGAGTTTTTATTTGAGATCCAGTCAAAATCTGTGAGAGAAAAAATGTAAATTTTCAAAAACAACTCAAAATCTACTATTATTAAGGAACTTTTATACTCAATTAGTAGCTATTGAGCTTATTGATAGATTGAGACTAGTTTAAGCTATGAAAACCTTAATTAAACATATATTTACCTTAAATTAAGTTTTGTCGAGAAATTGTTTTTTGGGAAGACTCGAAAATAAAGTTCGAGTTCGAAACTTTTTGTGACGTCATTGTTGACAACTCAAAGTAAACAAACAAAAAAAATTTAACAAAATTCATAAAATCTCAAAATGCCAGTCATCGCAAGTAGAGAAGCTGGTCAAATATCATCAGATGGAATTGGACTAATCATTCCTCCACCTGAACTAAGAAGTAAGTTGTCAATTTGTGCCTAAACCTTTGAATTTCCATTAATTAATAAAATTTTCAAGATATTGTTGATAAAACTGCTAGTTTTGTGTCTCGAAATGGAAAGACTTTTGAGAAGAAGATCCTGGAAAAGGAAGAGAATAATAAAAAGTTCAATTTCCTTAAACCTGATGATGTTTATAATAAATATTACTTAAAGAAAATTAAGGATTTTAGCGATAATAAAAGTTTATTTCCAAACCAGGAAATTGCTAAAAAGCAGCAGGAAATACTTAAAAAACTTACAGTAGAGGAATTTAAGCCTAACAAGCCTCCAAGGAAGTTTGAATTCATCGCTGATCCACCTTCATTATCTCCATTGGATCTTAATATTGTGAAACTTACAGCACAATTTGTAGCTAGAAATGGAAAGCAATTCTTAACTAATTTGATGAATAGAGAACAGAAGAATCCAGAATTTGATTTTCTTCGTCCACAGCATATTCTGTTTCCATACTTTGCCAGAATGATTGAGCAATATACAAAAATTTTGATTCCACCAAAAGATGTACTTAAGGATATTAAAGCTGAACTTTCTAAAGAAGGAATTGACAAGGTTCTTAATGAAGTCAAATATCGAGCAAAATACATCCAACATGAAGAAAAGCAAGTACAAATTGAAATTGATAGAATCGAAAAGGAACGTATTGCATACAACAGCGTCGATTGGCATGACTTTTATGTTGTTGAGGAAGTAGACTATGAATTTGGTGAAAGAGGTAATTTTCCAAAACCAATAACACCTGAAACACTTGGTTGTCGTCTAATAACAGATTTAAGGAATGAAGAAACTGAAGTTTTTGATGATGTTGATATGGAAATAGAACCTGAAATTGAAATGGACATATTAGAGGATATAAGAACTATTAAATTGCCAGAATTAACTGAAAAGACTAAGCAAGTTAATATTAGCGATTTCTCGTCAGAAAATGTCACAATTAAAAAATACGATCCAAAATCTATCAAGAAACCGTTTGTTGCTTCAAAAAAGGAAGAATATCTCATTTCACCATTAACTGGAGAGAAAATTCTTGCATCAAAACTATCTGAGCATATGCGTATTGGTCTACTTGATCCTCGTTGGATAGAACAGCGCGACAAGTTTATGGAAAAAACTCAGGAACCGTCCGTTTATGGATCTGGAGAAACAGTAATTGATAATTTGAAGCACCTCGCTGAGCGTCGAACTGATATTTTTGGAGAAGGTGATAAGGAGACTGTAATTGGCAAGAAAATTGGAGAAGAAGAAAAGAAAGAGAATCCAGTTATTTGGGATGGTCATATGATAAGTGTTGAATCAACAGCACGAGCCATGAACAAAAATAATTCATTAAACAATTCTGTGCAACCAAAGCATGTACAATCTAATCAATTCATGCCTTCAAATCATGTCATGCAATCAAACTATGTCAATGAAGTTCCTCGTCCAAAAAATACAATGCACAATAATGAATTTAAAGTGCCCTTACCTCCCCCACCTCAAAGATATCCAAATTATCAAATGAATATTCGTCATAGACCACCTATGCCTGTTCCTCCGCCTCTAATGATGATGAATCAGCCTCAAAGATATCCAATTCAGCCACATCCATTCTTTCGTAAGTACTATTGTGCTTTAAAACCTTTCAAATTCTTGAAAATGTTTCAAAACCCTAAAAATTCGGTTGCTAAAACCTTACAACAGTTTTTAAAAATTTCTGAAGTTTTTAATTTAAAATTTGTGCTTCAAAACCATACAAATGTTTTTTGTCACAAAACAATACAAATGGTAATTAAAATTGAATTTTTTCAGAAACACCTTTCCCGCCGACACCACCTATAAGTATGATGTTTGATCCTCCATTTGATATTCCTGAAGAAGAACATCCAGCTAAAAAGGCTTGTACTGAGAGTAAATTGATTCCAGAAGACAAATTTATCAAAATGTTCATGAGTCCAATAAATATTCAAGTTCAAGTTCCAAATGTTGAGAAATCAGAATGGAAATTAAATGGACAACAGTTGTCGATTGATATCGATTTGAAAGACACGATTGTATTGCTCAAACAAAAGATTCAGGAACAGACTGACATGCCGCCAAGCAAGCAGAAAATCTCATTTAATGGAACGTTCCTGAAAGATAATTTTTCTGCTGCTTACTATAATATACTGAACAACTCGACAGTTAATCTACAAATTAAGGAACGAGGAGGAAGAAAAAAATAATTTCCAACTCTGTGGCTCTCGATTTTTTGATGAGAGCGAGCATTTATGTCTCATAAGACATTTGAGATAATGAATGAAAGCAGATATACGCAGATAGTAAATGAATAATCAAAACAAACAATAAATAAGAAATAAAAGAAGCGTTTCTTCGTCTTTTATGATCGATATAGTTGTAAAAAATTTTATTCATCTTTTTTTAGTCGCACCCAAATAAACAAAACATAGAGAAATGCAAGTGATTAAAATGATGGATATTGTATGTAAATAAAGGTCGTATTGATCAGGTTGTCTGGGATTATAGAGCATTTAGTTTATATGGGAAATAAGAAAGTAAGCTAGAACATTTGACCAACAGCGACAGTTAATTTTCAGATACAACTTGACAAACTTTGTCATTTTCCATATACTGCCTCTTAGTCATCCAATATATTTGATCAATACAAGCTTTAATTCCACTTAATTATTCCATCGTGTCCCCTCTTGAATAAGAGTAATAAAAAAAAATAATTAAGACATAAAATAAAGACAAAAATGCAGTTTCGAAGAAGCAACACAAAAAACAAAAGGAAAAGAGAAAATAAAATTAATTAAACTTATGAAACCGAGGCTGAAGTTGATAAAAGAATCCAATTTCCATTCAGTAAAGTTGATTTTTGGCACACTTTTGCATCTACTCATCATTGTGACATTGAAATACTGATAAAGGATGATTATTTTGAGATTAGTCACTAAGTAGCTTATTTTTTTTTTTTTTTGTTTCGTTTAATCAGTTTTGGTTCACCATGAAATTTCTGCCACATAAAGCGATTCACCCTCAATCTTCAGGCTTCATAATATAAAAAAATTAAAAGTAGAATATCGTCGTGTCTTATAAATTATGAATGGTTAACTATTTCTCATATTCGAATATCTTTCCTTGAGCGCCCGTGATAATAACATCAATCCATATAGAGCAGGCTTGCGTAGACGGTGCTTGCAGTGTAAATGTTCGAGTTTTGGTCTTTACAATAAAAGTACGTTTCAAGGTGATTGAATGATCAAAATAGACGTCACTAATGGCATTAAAATATGCACCTCCTCGTGGCTTCTTTTCGCCTTTATCACTGTAATAAACAAACATTTGCTTCTCTCGATCAAACACAAACCATCGTGTATTGGCTCTTAAATTCGAAAATAATGGCTTTGAACCGACTTTGTTTAAATATCCGCGACAGCTTGTCGCTAAAATAAAAGCAAAAACAAAGCATTGAATGAACTAATCAATCGTGAGCGAATGACAAATGACTTACCATCAATTATAATGTGAGGACATAATTGTATTTGATGACCCGCTGTCTCGATATGTTTTCTAAGATTAAAATCGAGTTGAAAATTTGGCAAGAATTGCGTTAGAGGTCGTTTCTGTTTAGGTAAAGTTCGTAACTGTACAGCATTACGTGATGATGATGATGACGAGGAGGAGGTTGATGGCCGTTGTCTATTCTCATCATTTTTGACATTTCCATTCATAATTGGTACAATAACTTTTTTCTGGCTATTATTATTGTCATTGACATAATTAATTGATGATAATGAGTGATACTTTGGCATCATGAGAGGTGAATCGTTTAAATCAGATTCCATGACTCGCTTTGGTGTTGTAGCGCTTACAACTTGCTTCCTTTCCGGCGAGGAATTCGGTACAATTTTAGAATTTCTCGGTAAACTTTCCGTTGTCATGCTAAAGTCAAAATATGATACTTCTATTTTACTCCGATTAAAGAACATGTTTTCATTAAAGCTTTTTGACATTATGTCTGATGATGTTGCCACTATGCTATTATTAAATGATTTATCACCATCAAAGGCACTACTTGTATTGTTGTTTGATATTTGTATAGAATTTGGTTCAGTCACTGGCGCTATTTTACTTGACAATATCTTGTCTATGTTCTTGAGCTTTTCACGCTCATTTTCTAATTTTTGTTTGAGATTAAATAGTTTCGTTTCCAATGTTTTTTGATCATTTTGCGTTGAACTTTCGTTGTCGCGACTTGTCTGTTCAAGTTGATGAATGTAGTTCTTCTTGTCTTCTATTTGCTTTGTGAACATGCTAATGTTCTCTTTATATTCTTCCATCAATGAAGCCCTAGAATGGGAGTAAAGAATGAGTGAGGTGTATTAAATGCTTTAGAAAAATAATAAACGTTTAATTAGTATTCAAATTTCAGAACCAAACAAATTATCGTCACACTAAAACATTTATAAGGTTCTAATTCGTTTTCACACAATATATTATACTTCACGAGAGCAATTTTCAGATCCAGCAAAGATTATAAGAAACATCCAGACAAACCAGAGTCAATTGAGGCAATTGCCAATAAAAAACTGCACGACACATAAATAGAAAATAAAAGATAATATTTACCAATCTGTTTCCTCTTCCAAATAATGAAATTCCAAGTCTTCATAAGTTTTTATGTCAGATTCCAAACTTTCTTGCAACTCATCAAGTCGACTTTCCGTTTTAATTGAGACTCCCTTTTGTTCTTCCAGCATTTTGATCTCTGCTTCTTTATCTTTAATAGTATTTTTGAGCTTTATTTGCTGTATTTCTTGTTGTTTCTGTCTCTTCAGTCGAGTCATTTCCAATTGTTTCATTTTTGCCTTAATTGCTTGTAATTTCTCGTTGAGCAATGCCAGGTTTGTTTTCTCGTTAGACATTTCAGCCCAAACTAGTGACTTTTCAACGTCAGACTCGAGAAATGTCTCACTCTCTTGAAATTGGATATCTGATATCAATATTTTGAGTTCTCGTATTTTTGCTAAGATCTCGTTTTTTTCACCATTCAGTGAATTATTCGAGTGTAAATTATTATTGTCCGCGATGTTGCTTCGCACGTCAATATGATTCAAATTCTCGCAATGCTGTATATTGTAAATATCCATTCTAAATTTTTCTTCAAAGCTCCTTATCAACTTTTCATAGTCTTTTTCATTACTTGTGCTATTCTTATCATATTCGTAGCTTTTATCATTGTTATCAGTTGGTGATAAGCTCTTCGTCGAAGAATTGCTTGTCGGAGACGATACGAAGGTTTTGATTCGCGTTCGAGGACTTTGTGGCTTCTTATAAACTTCAATATCGTCAGTTGCTCGCGATGATTCGCTTTCGTAAAACTCAAAATGATTTTGTGCGTGATCTTTTGTGTTGAAATTCTTTGGAAGTGAACCATTTGTTTTAATTCGATTCTGGTGTGTGATATTAATTTTTTCGGAACTTGTTTGCAATATATTATTCCGGCTTGACTGGTTAACAGCTTCACTGCTGCTACATCCATTATTATTATTATATTCAACAAACATTTTGAGCACATCTTCTAGCTGTTGCATTTCATCAATATTATTATTGGCCGTGCCGTTTGACAGATTTGAACAGTTTTCAATACTTTTCGATGTGACGGGAAAAACTTGAAGATTACTAATTTTAGGATATGAATCATTGCCCTTCATTTTCAAATTTTTCATTTTATCTGTGATTTTCACGTTATTATTGAGCGTCTTATCGGAACTGTTTGAGAACTCTGTAAAATTCACACAATTCGTATTGAGATTCTTCTTCAAAACCTCATAATTATCACTAATTGTTTTTTTGTTATGCTCCATAGCATTACTTTTCAATATTGCAGCCTTGGCTGGAAAATTAAATCGTAACAAAACTGATTCACCGAGTCTTATGACGTCTCCTTGTTGAAGGACATATTCATCGTTGCTAATTAGCAACCTCTCCTCGACATAAACTTTCGCACTCTCAAATGGGGTGATTGTCACGTCTCCTAAATTCTCGTCACTCTTCTCACCATCTGTCACTTCTTTTCTTGAACAACGGCAATGTACGTCTAATATTCCAGCACCTTTTAATACTATATCGCAACTATCTCCCGCTCCAATAGTCAGATTACCTAGAATATATCAAAATTTGCATAAATTAGAATTAATAAGATGTATCTTAAAACTATTGTTTCTGTATTTTAGTGAGTCTCACCTAAAATCTCAAAAAGTGTAACTTCCGTCGAGAGTCTCGAATTGCCTAACGATATAAGATGTGCTGTATTCGATTTAATGCATATGCCATTTTGATTTTTGTTGCTCGCTGATCCCATTATTATTATTATTCATCATCTAATGTGGAATAAATGCACATAAATTATGTGTATAGCAAACGCCAGAACATCAAATAAATTAGTCAAACATCTTCTCTTCGTTAATAAATAATAAATTCTCTTCGTATATGCCGCCCACAATTATACACACAACAATAATATATTTGTGGCAGTCACAACTTTTGGCTGGCTGCTTGTTGGATGGAGATGACAATCTAATTTACAAAAGTTTTATGATGCAAATGTTTCTTACCCAATTTTTTATGCTTTTAGAATGTCCACAGATGTCTACTATCTATCTCATCGCATAGAATCTCACTTAGTCTCAACGATTTTCACTTAACTAGGAACAAAAATATTAGCTTTACTATAAAATATCACTCGAAATGATTCTTAGTCTTTTTTGTAGATTCAGTAAAATGAAAATAAATTTTAAAACACTTCAAATGTTTTTGAAAACATTACAAATGTTTTTTGCTATTTTTAACGTCTTTTTCATATTCAAAAATTGAATAATTTATTAAAACCGTTCAAATGTTTTAGCTGTACTGTATCTTATAGTTTTAGTAAGATAAAAAATATTTAATTTATTAAGGATCCAGTCCTTAAACTTTGTTAATTTAAGTGAGAAAAAGTCCAAGAAACACCCGAAAGTATTTGTAAATTGAAATGTACATGTAATAATAGATGGAAAGTGAATATAATGCAAATTCTTCATTTTACCTCAGTTTTCTGAGTAAGTACACAACAAAGAATTGTTTGCAAACGAACCGAAAACAGTGCCAAATATCAAGTGATTAATTTAATTAGAATATAATTCATATTGAGAACGATGAGAAAGTTCGGATGTGATATTCATGATTTATGACATGTACCTTAATTAATTCATTTCGTAACTGAATCTATCGGATACAAGGTTTTGATGTAAAAACTTGAAAAACTACCTTTTTATCATCAAGCTACGGCTGCTATTTTATTATTTAATATCCAACTGACGAAAAAAAATCTTTTATTATTTATTTTTTCGATTGTCTCGAATTTAGGCAGATACGTTGATGACGTTAATTTTACACTATGGCTCCACCGAACAGTCGTATATCCACTCATAGTGACATTTTTGCTTCCATTTGTGTTCGTCTTCTTGATTTACTTCTCAAGCATTTCTCTCTATATTTTTAAATTTCACAGGTTTGTTGTCTGTCCACGTATAATTAGCTCGACATGACTCATTGTACCTTATCATTATTATTATTTCTTTTATAGTTGGCTTCTACTCAAAGAGATTAAAGCTGATGATGTTAAGTTCTGGAAAGTCGCGATAAAATTGTACGTATATCCACATTCCCTCTTTTCTTATCAATTGGTGATTAATGTGAAATCAAATTTCCAGTATCGCAGCTGTTTGGGACGCTCACGCAACGCTATATCATGGCTATGAAATTTGTGGATTAGAGCATCTACCGAAAGATTCAAATGGTTTACTAATCTACTATCATGGAGCTATACCGATTGACATGTATTACTTTGTGGCAAAAATATACTTAAAGTATGATCGACTTATTTATACTGTAGGAGATAGATTTCTATTTAAGTTGCCGGGGTGGAAGGTTGGTTGACATTGTATCAAGCTATAGTTATTTTTTTCATTCAGCGACTTCGAATGACTTGGAAGGTCTCCAAATGTGGACAGTCATGAATGAACAACCCTAAAAAGCTATAAATAAGCAATTAAACCTTACATTTTGTCATTTATTCAAACAGATAATTGCACAGGCGTTGAAAGTTTCACCTGGCACGATCAACTCTTGTACAGACACTTTAAAGAATGGGAATTTACTTGCTATATCACCAGGTAATTAAGTCTAATAGCTAATTCATGCAACCTCAATGACATACAATAAATTATTGTCTAGGTGGCGTTTATGAAGCGCAATTTGGGAACCACTACTACGAACTTTTATGGCAACAGCGTCTAGGCTTTGCAAAAGTAGCTATGGAGAGTAAAGCTCCGATTATTCCAATGTTTACCGAGAATTTGAGGGAAGGATTTCGAAATATTGGGCTTGGACGACGATTCTTTATTAAAATGTATAATTTAACTCGTATACCTTTTCGTCCAATTTATGGCGTTCCATTCGTTAAGTTACGTACTCACTTGGGTCCACCTATCTATGTTGAAGAAGGCGATACACCCAAAAAGATACAAGAAAAGACAGCCGCTGCAATAGAGAAACTTATTGTTGAAAATCAAAGAATTCCGGGATCTATTGTCGGTGGTATTTTAGACAGAATTTTTGAGAAACGTAAGATTGATATAGTCGTTAATTCAGCAAGACAAAAGAAATTTATGAATAATAAAGATTTATAAGAGCAAGCAAACAAAAAAATGGTACTGAAAAATCAATGGAACAATTTTTTGTTGTTTATTGTTACCATCAGTTACCATAATGAAATTTATTAATTGTTTTACTTGATCACTATCATCCTAAGATTTATAACAAGTTATATTTTATATTTCAGTGCAACTTCTACTTACTTGATTGATCCAATAATGTCCAAGTATTATTTATGTCAAGTTAAAGCAGTGAATTAAAAGCATTAAGTGAAGCTTTAAAAGCTTTGTTTGAATAAAAAATTGCAACTTTAAATATTTTTAAGCTTATTATGATTTTTATAAAAAATTTGAAAATGTTTAATTCTCTGGAACTTTTTCAATCTCAATGTAGTCGTCTTCTTCTTCATCCTTAATCTCTTTTATAATTATTGACTCTTCCTGATTCTCTTGCTTTATTGTTGTCTTTGCTTGACTTTCTACAATTTCATGTTCCTTGATGTGATGAAGTAATTCGGATGAATATAAAAATCTAGCATTACATTTTGTGCACGCTTCCTTGAAATCTGCTGGCGTTAATTTGTGCTCTCTTATATGCTCTTTTAAGCCATTGATTGTTGAAAATATTGAATTACAGACAACACAAGTTATTGACTCATTGTCAAATGCATGCTCAATTAAATGGTCTTGGAACTTTTCACCGTCGATATTTTGTTTGCAGAGATTGCATAGCTGTAGCTGATTTTTGGATAGCGAGAAGTTATGCTTCATCATACACGAATTGCAGATTTTCTTTAAATTTGTGTTTTCAAGTGCGGATAGACAGAGAGCACAAGTTTTGTCTTCATTTGCTGCTGTTGAGCTGACTGTGTTTGTGTGGAATCTGTTGAATTGTTTTAAAATAACAAGAAAGGTTTTGTAACGGAATTATGATTTTTGAATTTTCAGAAAATTTGAATGGTTTTGGAGCATTTTTGAAACAATTGTAAGGTTTTAAGAGAAATTCAAATTTATTTTGACAGTTATGTTTTAAATTTCAACAATACTCACTTAGCATGAAGATTAATCTCGAAATCTGAAGTCAGTAACTGATGACAGCAGATGCAGTGTACTGGAAGTTCTAACGAGCTCTTATTCTTTTGATTGTGACTTTGAGTATGATGCTTAAACTCGACAATATCCTTAATTGACTCTGAACAATGGAAACATTTCCCGGATATGACTTTACAGTGCTGTAGTTTATGCTCAGCTAATACTGAATTTTGAAGAAAATAATGTTAATTTTAGCCTAGAATGACCACAGCCAAAAATAAATTACCTGCTGGACTTGGTAAGATTTCATCACAAATTGAGCACTTATGTTTCGCTGCTATATTATGCTGAATTTTCATGTGATTCTCCAACTCAGTTCTGTTAAATTTTTATCATTAAGTCAAAAAGTAAAAATAATTCGAAAGATTCCAATCTCACCTAGATTTAAAGTCCTCGCGAGCCTCACAATAAGCACATTTAAGGCTCACGCCAGTTTTAGTATTAAGATGAATGATATGACTAGATTTTTCTGTAGGTAATTCAAGTTGTGGTTCACTCTTATCCTTAAAGGTTGAATTCTTATTGTTATTCTTATCATTTGTGGTAACGCTAGAATTTGTCGAGTTCTGAATTTTATAAGAAGAAGGTTGAGCTTCAGAATTGACAGATTTTGGGTCATTTGCCAAGCTATATAAATTCTTGACTCTCATGCCTTGCGGTTGATTTTGTTCATCAATACTTGTCTGTACTCTACTAAGACTATCATGTAAGGAATTCAAGTTAATACTTTTTGGATATTGATTATGTAAAGAATTTAATGGAAAAATTGTTGGATTAAGTTTATGTAGAAAATTTGCGTCGGGAAGCTTTGGATCAGGATTCATTAGGAATTTCTCTCTATAACTGTCAATTAATGATGCATGATAGTTTTGAAGATTCAGTGCACTTGCTTCCTTTTCTAAATTGAAAGTTGTAGGAGTTGGAGGCGCTTCATTAACGGAATGATGAGTTTGAAGGTGACGGTCGAGTAAAAATTCAACATGGAAAGATTCAGAACAAGCTGGGCACCTAAGTTGATTAAAGAAATGGATTTTATTAATGTACATTAAAATTTTGAAGACTAAAGGCGTTAAAGTCAATTGAAATGAAAATTTTTGAGTCTTTTAGATGCTTAAACTTTGTCATGCAACTGATATTACGAAGGTTCATGACCTAAAGTTTAGAAGAAACTCCCAAATTTAAATGACTTACTTCTAAACAACCATTAATGATTGAAATCCTTACCTAAACTGCTTGACATGCGTTGATAGAAAATGGAAATGCATTTCAAGTTCTGACGAGCATGTGACGCGACAAAAGATACATTTTATTAAGTCAACAGCTGAATGCTTTGTCTGAATATGAGTTTTAAAGTCTCTTTCGCTACGAAAGACATCGTGACATGCGGAGCACCTCTTATCCGAGTGTCGTGTTGCAAAATGTAATTTTAGTGATATTATGGACTCAAGATTTTCATTGCACAGCGTACACTTAAAACGGACGTGATTCTCAAGCAAATGATTCTGCAAGTCTTCATTTTTCGTAAACGTATCGTCACATTCTTGACACAAAAACTCTGTATAATGTTGCTCAACATGCTGATCATATTCAAAACGATTATCAAACACAACATCTCGACATTGCTGACATACAAATTTCTTCTGTGAGTGCTGATAGAATGCATTGCTCAATTCAAAATGCTCACCGCTTCGACTTCCATAATTCTCTTCAAGATGGTTCTTTAGATGTAGCCGAAAAAGTTCAAAACTCGGTAACGATGCATTACATTGATTGCATAAAAAGACATCCGGTGTAGCAGGTGCTGTACGGCTATTATTATTATTAATATTATTATTTATTGGTGAATCGAAATGTTTTTGAATTGCATAATTTTCTATTTTAATCTTTTTGGAAATCCTCTGACTTAAGTCCGTTGGTTGTTCGTCGCTATATCTATGTGCCAATTTTTTATTACTAATGCTTCCTTCATTCGTATGTTGTGCATTATTACTATTATTGTTATTAGAAGATTCATTCAGTTTGGGACTTAAAAATTCATCATTTGTTCCTTGCATTCTATCTTCATGAACTAAATTAATGTGCTTAATGAGCTTTTCCGACGATGTAAATTTCATTAAACAATATTCACAAGCTATATATTGAGCAGACGACAACGACAATTCATGTTCACTTCTATTCTTTCTTTCTTTCATAAATCTATGATTATGCATGATATTAATGTGATGCGTTAATTGTTCCAATGACACAAAATTTGTCTTTGTGCAGTAAAAACATCGAATCTGACTCTTCATTTCGCACTGTCCATCAGATTTTACAGATTTTGGTGAAACCATCTCCAACCTTTTCTTATCGGCCATTGAAGTCGTAGATGACTCGGATGACTTCATGCTGTGGATGGGAGAGAATTATTTTATGAATGAGAAGTTCGCATTGATTTTTTCATAGTTTTTATAGAGATTGATAGTTAAGGGCGTGGTCATTAACACTAATAGGTGGAATCTCAAGTTCCTAAATAGGTCCAAAACATATACAAAAATCTAATAACTTACCTATAATTGTAAGGAGACTCATTCCTTTCACGAAGTTCATTCTGTTTCTTGTGGTTCTGCATATGCGACGTAAGAGCAGCGGCTGTGTTGTATCCACGATTGCAGAAATTACATTGAAATCTAAATTTTAACGGACGAAACAAGAATTATCATTTAAAATAAATCTATGGCTTTTAAAAATAGTTGAACTTACGCTTTCTTGCTGTCATGAGTTTTCATGTGGATTTTTAGATGATCACTGTATTTAAGAACAAATATCTTTAAATCAAAAATATCCAGTAATCTTTATTATATCAATCACAAACCTCCTTGAAAACGCAGAATCACAGAAGAGACATTTGTACCTCCTATCTCCAGTATGAAGCTTCAAACTATTTTATAGAAAACAGTAAAAGAAATTGCATGACTAAATTTATTCATCAAATATAAAAATCTAAGATAAACTCACTGCCGATCTCGAGATCTCTTATGCTTAAATAATCGAAGACATACAGGGCATTTAAATGGCATATAATCTTCATGACTCTGCAGTACATGTGAATAGAAATAAAAAAAAATACAAAATTCCCTCAATTACTTATTGTGCTCAACAAACGAAGCATATATGGATATATAAATATAATAATAATCATCAAAAAGGCTCGCGCGTTGACATGACTTTTAATAATTTATGACATTTACTTAGTATGCTGTTTGCACTTGCAGTTTGTTTTGCTTTTCTTTATTATCTAAACGATGCTTAATGCAATCATCTTAGTGCTTATAGTAAGTAAGGAAGTCTGTAAATGTAGGACTTGAGATCAATTTGTATTAAAATTCACTCGACTTTTGAATTTTTATCGGTTTTTTTAGATTTGAAAATTGTTGCTGGTGTATGGTTTTGGAGAAATATCGAATTTAGGAAAGGTTTGTTATGCTGACTATTCAATTATGCATAAATTTAAGTGTAAAATTTATTATTGTGTATGATGGATGCATAAAAAGTCAGTTCAACCAGTTATCAGTATATAAAACATTATTTTAATTATTAAAACCCTCCAAATGTTTCAAAATAGATTTCAAAACAATACAACAGCAAATAAACGCTCCAGCGAACCCAGACAAAAGACACGAAGTCAAAGTGCAACCAGCATAAATAAATTTTCCCATCCATAAGCATACGAGACGACATGAATTTCGATGGGTCCGTAAAAGGTAAATTTTGTCTTTTATTCCCCCATTCTTGAAGAACATTTTAGTGAACTTTTATTGAGCAGATAAATTTATGTTTGTATGTTGGTGGACATAAGTTTTCATAAACCGTGCGTCATAATAATAAAATGGATATCATAATGATATTTTTATAGACGTTGGTCGTGTGAATATGAATGCATTTATGAGATGTTCTTAGTGGATTAAATCATTAACTCACCTGTTCATGCTTCTTCAGATATCCCAACCTGGGAAAGGATTTCTCACAAAATTGACATTTGTAACTGGATGCGCCCTTAAACTTAGTCTTATCCTTTTTCTCTTTCTTAATCGGATCATTTACATCAATTCCATTTGTTTCCATTTCTGATGTGCTATTATGTGATGATGGGAAGCTGATTGATGAATGTGATGAGTAGAGTTCTGGTAAAGAATGACATTTTATGCTACTTTAGATCATCATATATATTAATTTAGTGAGCACATAACAACATTATATCAACCAAATCAATTTTCAACTCCTTTAGATTCTGACTTGAAGACGTGCATTTTGTAAATTATTATAAATTATATCAATCCTTAATGTTCCTTGTTATCCACTTCATAAATTCTCATCATTTCTTCAAATCCTTTTTACGCAGATTTTTTTTTGTGCCATTTTTTTAAGGAATGATGCATCGCTGTACATCAATCACAATTTAGGTGAGAATCTATGAAGGCATGGGGTAGAAGGAGTTATGCTGCTTGAGAAATTATGAAATATTTGATTTTAACTCACGACGATGAGCAATGAGTGTCAATTAAGTGACTCTCATGATATCTTACACTTTTATGATTATCATCACTAAATGAACTTAATTAAAGCTTCCTATTCCAATTTTTCTTTATCATAAAAATTGTCGCCTTAAATATTTTATTCCACGACTTGATGCTTCATTAGCGTAATTTAATTAATGTTTAACGGTTTCGGGAGGTTTAAAAACTTTTACTTTTATAATTTTAGAACTGACGAAATTCAAATTTGAAATTTTCGTTAAATTTAGCACTACCTTTAAATAACTTTTCCAATGAATTTTGTTCACAGATTTTGCTCAATTGAATAATAATAAAAGCCAAAAAACTCAACGCAACATAATGTTTCACTTTAATAACTATTAAACTAAGGAATAACAAGGAATTGAAATATTTTCAATAAAATAATCTTTCCGACACCTTCAATCTCCCCAAATGCCAAAAATGCGACCGAACTCTTTAGGGAGTAGAATAAAACTCGATTAAAATTGTTCTTTTTCGCTTCACTACTGAAAGAAAAGAAAGAACAAAAAAAGGCACACAAGAGCGGGATCGTATTTTCTTCGGGTATATTTTTATTGTATTTACGAATTATGTGCTCCAATAGAAGTAAACGAACAAAGTGAATCGTGTGAGAGAAAATGTTGGTTCATTTCAACTGTGCACCAATCATTAAATTTTTTGCCACTTTTCTATTTTGTGCTGTGATTTTTTATTGCCGTAGATTCGTTAATTGTGCTGCATTTTGGGTACTATGAGGTTTCACACCACTAGAATTTTTAATTTTGAACGATTTTAGATTTAAATATTAACGGAAATTCAGAATTTAAAAAATAACTGATGTTTGGAATTTGAATTTTCACACAGTTTAGTAATAAAAAAATAATTTGAAAATTAACGGCTTTATTGGATTCTAAATTTAACGGAATTATAGAATGGAAATATTATGCCCAATCATAGCCACAAAAATACCAGAACTGTACAACAACATTCCCACATCTACCATAAATCTCTATGCTTCCCATTTCAATAGTTTTCCCTCTCCTTTTTACTTCTTTCTTGTGCTGTGCTGCATTGTTTCACCAAAGGCGGGACATAAAAAGCAGCAAATAACATTAGGCGGGAGCTGAATTGAAAAAAAGAGTGTGAAATCCGGTGAGAGGGAAAAAGCAATGCTGAGAGAAAAAAATCTAGTCGAGTACAGGGTGCGCAGAAAAGAATCATTCCTCACTAATTGACCAATTAATGCACAAATGCTGAGGGTTTTAAAACTTTTTTTTTTGTTACTTCTGTCCCAAATAAAATGTGAAGATGTAGAAATTATTTTTTTAAGGTAATCAGAGCTGATAGTGTGATGTGATGAGTTGAGATCATGAATAATGAATTACGATTCGAATGAAAAAAGATCCTTTCCATGTGTCAAGCAGAGTAACAATTTTAATGGATGAGGAGAGTCGGAAAAGTTTTGGAAATTTAAACCAAAAATCCACTGATATAAATTATTAATACTTTAAAATTTTGCATAGATCTCTTCCGTACCGAATTGTATTTTATGGAGAAATAAAAAAGTAACAGAATGATAGACAGGTTTACGGGGACATTGAAATGGGATTATGTAACTAAGTGCCTTTTTGAAAAATGTCCAAACTTTACAACTGTAATGATATATCCAAGGGTGAGAAATGTCATTAGAAAATTATACACACAGCACCGTCACTCTCGTCTCTATTGGTGATCAAGAAGAATCAAATTCCCAAATCCATAAACTGTAAGGAGCTTCGAGTTGTTTTTGCGATTTATAAGCTAGTATTATTTTCAATTAGATTAAATTTGAGGATAAGAGCATCATGAGAAATAAATGTTGTCCCACGCATAACTACAATGTATTTAATACTTAACAGCTTTTTAAATTTTGAAAATATTTTATTAGAACTTCGAAAATTCAAGTTTTGAATTAATGTTAAGTTTAGTACAAAATTTGATCAATTAAAATTTCAAGTGTTCGTTAAATTTAAAACAACTTTAAAAGTTATTCCGTGGGTAAATTTTTCCCATAAATCTTGTCGCTTCACTTATTTTGATTAAACTCAAGCAAATTTTCGGACATCCATATATAACAATTCACATGCCTAACCCTTGGATATTTCATCAGGTTTTGGAAAATTATTTTTGTAACTGACAACTTTAATTGTTTGACAAGTGATATGGCACTGCCAACTCACTTATGGCCTTTTTATTGTTGTTGAAAATTTTAACGCCACACATGAGTATGCACATTTTATGTAAATCCGATTGAAAGTTCTCATACAAAAAATTAAGGTTTAATTTATTAACGTCACAAAAGTGATGTGGAAGTCACTCAACCTGTTGAGATATTTATGGAAATCGAGAAAACCATATTTCACGTGCTATAATAAACAAAAATCATCATCATTCTTTTACATTCCGCATGAATGCCTTCACACTCTTCACACTGCTGACTGACTTCAATGTAGGTAAAATTATTCACCTGCTATTGATAATGTTAGAGGTATTAGATGAAATCAAAAGGTGTTTTTGGGTTGGTGAATTTTTATGGTTGATTAAATTCATTTAACATCTTTATCCATTTCTGACAAAACTTTATTACCTCCGTTCTGCCTTTAATCGGGTTAAAAAGAAGAAATTGAGAAGCGGAATGGGAAATACTGATTATTTTTTGGCGTAGCGCTTAACTGTGGCTTTAAATTAATTATTTATTGGGTCGCAAACTAGTTATGGAATTGAGGAAAGCTTCTTTTCGGGTCATTCACTTATATGTGACATTTTAAAACGATGATATATTGTGGTAAAAAGGAGGTAATTTTGGTCCAAAAATAGGAGATTGTGCCCTAAAAACCTAAGCAGTTGATCACCTACACTTTATTGATTGTTTGTCCACTTTTTGGCTCTCAAAAATGAGTTTACTTAAGATTTTAATGGAAATAATTTAAATTTTATGCTGAAAGCCATACAACAACGTTTATTTTTATACAACATTTGTATGGTTTTGAAACACAATTATTTATATTTGCCGATAAATTTTATTCGATTTTTAACATGGATTCTCATTAAATGCCAATCATATTAAAAATAGTAAAATAGATTATAATCTGTAGAGTAGATTCGATTAAAAGATCTAAATGATGCTGTGCGCTTAGCTATGAAAGCAAAAATTAATTAAAAAGAACCCAGACAAATAAATCCAAGCCTTCGTCAGTTTCAGCCTCAAAACTATAAAAATTACCAAACTTCCTTTTGTTGAAATTTCTCAAAGAAACTTTAATCATAAATCACAAAATTAGTAGTTACTAAATAGAACAGATAAAACGGAATTGGATACGAGGGCAAAAAAAAAGAATCAAGAACAATAAAAAGACGGAGCAGAAATGTTTGTCGCGAGAAATTCTCATGTAATCTGTAAAATTCTATTATTTGCAATCTCAAAAAAACATGAAGAGCAGCAGCTAAAATTCTTATTCTTATATAATATACCAATAGCATAAGTAATATTATGAATACTTTAAAAAGCTTGTTCTGCGTTATTTTCCTTTCTCAATTCAATGTTCCTGTGTACCTTATAGTACTCAAAAGAATAATTCAATCGCTCCCATAAGACAAAATAAATGTACATAAAAGGAAATGAAATAACCATCTCCTGAACTCATGTTAAGGTTTTGCTCGAAATCAATTGAATCATCAAAAATAGTCGAATGTAGGAAGGAGAACAGAAATCTTTTATTCAAATTCATTTTCACTCTGCACATCCTTTTACTACTTCTGCTATTACCTTTGCTTCTTTGGCTTGGTGTTGATGTCGAATCAACTGTACAGTTCTGTATTGGATGGGATATATCCTAAAAGATTAAGATATTTGATATTTTAATTTTTACTGAATTGGGTAACCGACAAAAAAATTATTTTTTATTGTCTCATTGTGCTGTAATAAGACTGAGAACTATGGGACATTGCCAGTTCTGTTTTGATCGTCACTTGTGGATTTATTTTTTTAACGGAATTTTTAAATTTGAATATTTCAAATGTTAACAAATGAAATTGAAAATTCAAAAATCTGGCTAAAACAGCTGTTATGCTTGTTCAATTATGAAAGATATTAAAGCTCTAAGACTGCTTTACAACCCATAACAATTCAAATCTTGAATCTCCTTAAAATAAAGACAAATTTTTAACAAAACAATTTTCAAATTGGAATTTAAAACAGAATTTTGGCAGTTCCAAAAATTCTCGTCCATTCCCTTCACATTTCCTTCATAAACAGCACACCGTCGCGCAATTATTTAATTCAAACAAAACGCCCTTTTATAATGCGGAATCTGTTTTTTTTCTTGGCTATTTTTAGAGAAATTATTATTATTATTGAATGTGGGAAAAGTAACGTGATATTTCTATGCTGCAGGAATTCTATATGTACCTTATAGACGACTATAGACATGGTGAAACTATTTGGAAAGTATTTATTTTAGATGGAATTTAGACTGAAAAACTAATCTCGCAAAACTTACAAGTTCATAAATGAGCTATGAGGTACAGGCA